AGCCAAGTACCTGAAAGGTTTCAATGGCACTCTTAAAATACATCAGAATAAGGGTTAAATATCAAGATGTCGTTTGGGACTACTACAAAGCACTGAAAAACTTATAATGAAAAGTTTAAGCTGCTGTGAAGAAGAATGCCAACATTTTAACCTAGGGGTTATCAACTCGACTCGACGTGTACTACACAGACTCCGAAGACGAAACCAGGCCAGCCGATTTCTCCGCGGATAATTCTGACAATACTTCAGGGCCTAGTACGAGCAGCCAACAGCATTACAAAAATGGTGATTACGTTTTAGCTAGATTTAATGGCAGAAACACGGAATATCGTTATGCTACTGTTATTTATAAAGTAAAGTCAAAGTCAAATCATTTATTTCAATTAGACCATCTAAAATGGCACTTTTGAACGTCAAAAAATAGTAGTAGTAGTATAGTAGTAGACGATGAGGATGGCGAACTAACAGTATTTTTTATGAAAATTTGTGATGATAAAGGCCCCAAGTTCAAAATGGATGAAGATGATATTTCTGATATCAGTTTTGACCAAATACTGCAGAAATTACCACAACCAGATCTTACTCTAAAAGGGAGAAGATTATTTTCCAATATCCGTTTCTGTTTTTGAGAAATAATAATTTTTAAGATAGTTTCCTGAAATGCCATGTTAAGACTGATTTTATAGAAGACATTGTAAAATTAATGCCAATTACTTTAATAGTACAATTGTTTTAAATACTAAGAATGTTGATTGTGATATTAAGTTAGTATATGTAAGAACTACGCATTAAAATTGATTACTTTCATACTAAAATTCGTGTTTTTATTCATAAAAACAATCCCTTGTGCGTTTACAACAGTCCCCTGTCACGTTTTTGGAAAAAATCGTTGATAACTCAAAAACCAGGACGAAAATCAGTGGGCCTTTCTAAGAGATATATTTATTTTAATACATATTGTCTTTAATTTTATTAACAAACATTCTCAACATCTAACAAAATTTTCTTAGGACAGTCTTGTATGGGCGAGTTTCCAAATAGCAGAGAAACACCCATATATATTAATATATAAGTGTGTACTGCAATATAAAGAAACTACACTAATAATATGGTTTAGTCAATCGTTAGTTATTAAAAAGATCGATTCGGGGCTTAGAATTCGCACGAAAAATTTTAAAGGTATATTTCTACGTTGAATACCTTAAATGTAACTCACATTTGCTTTGTAAAGGACAGATTGATAAAGTCCAATAAATGTAAATGATAAGCACTTACGACTTTTTAGTGCATTTTGAAGAAAACCAAAATTAGTACCTAGTTATTCTTGCAATTCCAAAATATGACGAATTTTCTGAGCTCAATACATAGCAACGTATTAAATAAAGTAGATCTGAAACATATATTTTTGTAATCATCTCCTATTATGAACAAGTAGGTGGTCTTATGTGGGTACACAGCTAAATTGGCCCCATGCTGTTTGGCTTTGTCAATTTCCTCGATATATGAGTATTTGCCTTAACTCGTAAAATGGCTAGCCCACTTTTATAGCACAATTCGCAAGGGACAGTAAATAATACGAAAGTGGAGGTGCTTCTTATTAGCATCATGTACTTGTTGGGCTGTACGTACGTGTGATGCAGTTTAAAAAGCGCTGGGTCATCTTTTAACCTCTACAGAACCTTGCTTCTTACTATATTAACTTAGATAAAAACTTAAGAAATTTAATATATATACTGTAAGATCGAGGATCTTTAGCCGGTGTTACGTTATTGTATAAATTGCTAAATAATCAAAACAGTCTTTCAGGATATTAAAATTGTCGTCCCTTACTCATTCCCAACGTCTAAAATCAGCAATATTTTCCAAATTCCGTCTGCAAAAGCCAACCTAGGAGTTCAGGCACCAAATTCTTCGCGGTTATAACGGATTAAACAGTACTTATCCGGAGCTGGATATAATCGGTAGTGGGCTGATCGGTTTCAGAGAAAGCATTGTTTAGTGCCTATCTCATACATAATCCGCTGTTTTGCTGGTAATTTTTATTTTCTGCTAACAAAAAGTTATTGTATTTTTATTTGGCTTGTATATATTTTAACATTTATGGTAAAAGAGTATGTAACTTATACCGTAGATGTCGTATTATCCTTTTAGAAATGTGTAGAATAAAAATCCCGTGTCATATTGAATTAGTTTCACATTAATTGAAGTAGGTACGTATTTTTATTATGTTATCGTGGAATGTCACTGATACAATATTTAAATAGTATTAATAATTAACAACCATAAACTAATTGTTGCGCCACTTAATATTGTTTGTCAAAAGTATTGTTAGCAAACCTGTTACGTAAAATTGTTTGATTATTAATTTGATTAATTTAATTTATATTTATTTCTCAAATAAACGATTAATGTATTGAATGTGTGTGGAATTTGGATGGATGGATGGCGGGGTCCATTGTTTATAGAAAATCGTTTCCCTTGGTTTATGCGTTGTCAACATTAGTAATTTAATAGTAGGTAAGTACTTTTCTATGTACAAGCAGTAATATAAACTAGCTGTGGAATGGTGACTATTACGTATGTTGAATGCACAGATTATACCGCATCTGCAAAGTTAATACTTAAATGTATGTAAAATACTAATTAACTTTAGTTAGTTAATAACTATTAACTAGCTGCCATACTACTCTCTAGAAAGACTTTCGAACGATCGTTGATGTCGACAACAGAACTTTATCGGATTTGTTATTCAATTAATGATCACATAATTATTGTTATAATTAATATAATCTCTAAATTTATTAACTCCAGTCCATCTTTGGAAATCGGTGTTGGTTTTAAAAAGGCGTGCTAGTGCTTGTCTCTTGAGGTATTTTAGATTTATGAACTCGCAAATGCAATCACGGTAATATGATGTAAAAAGCGTCTGTTTGAGCAGTTTGCTCTCCGTTATCAGGGCACGAACGAAGGCCGTGCTATAAATAGACGTTCTATTTACTTAACTTTGTGAAGTATGTACTTTGAGCATTGTGTAATTCATATACTATTTTAAGACAATAAATTTTCGTACACGATTTCATGAATCATTAGACACCTACCAGGTCCTGTCAATAGTGTCCAAATGGTGAATGGTTAATATTAATGTTGTAATCTGTATTTTTCAATGTCGATATGTATTTAATTGATTATGTAACATATTTGATGCACCCACTGGTCCACATTTCGCTCACTTGCAAAACGCCCGGCAGTTGAACAGTGGAATGTGAAATATTTCCATTTCCATGTATTGTTTATTTCTTACAGTTAAGTAGGTTGTAAATGCTTATGCGCCATTAGCTGATAATTACGTGATTAACGTCCGGGAGCGTGACTTACTGTAGTTTCACACGATCGCGATTACATATAACCAAACTAGTTATCATCGCCATATTTTCTAATTAAATATTACAAAAGTTATAAATTTGGGTGTGCAAAAATTAAACTCATCCCGACTAATAGTGTTTTTAAAATTAAAATACGATTTAAATAAACTTAATATTGTATAAAATATTGATTTGCTTTGTGCCTGGATTCAATTCGTAATCATCCTGAAGAAAGGCAACTAAAATGTTTTTAAGCCTTGGGGCTTGTTGCTTCGAATACCACCTTGAGTTACGGCGCTTTTCAATGGAATTCCACAAACAACATTGCTCTGAAAATTGCTGACATATTCATATATTATGGTAGATATGAAAACCTTATGTTGTGAAATTTATTTCGGTTTAGCTTATAAATTATAAAAATGTGTTCTGTAAATAGCTACGCTACTTGTCATTTATTATAGTTTTAATTGCTTAAGCAGTTACAGTTGTATCACTAGAAAAACATATTAACGTTTAGGCAGATTAATGTAATATGTGAACAAATTTCGCTATAATTGTATTAATATATTACAAATAAATAAATAACAGAAAGACAATAACTAACCTTTAAATATAACAACTAAAATATATTATTAATTACGTTTATATCCAACTAATAAGGCGACGTTTAACAAAATAATCTATAATAAGTGTAATTATTTATACGATAATTTTGTTGGGTACTGCCGCACATACAAGATAATTACAAGGTAGTAAAATTAAAACCTGAATACTTATTACATGCAGATAAAATTTATTCGTTAAACATCGAACGATATGACAAAACAAGTGAATTTATTATTGAGGGCGACTGATCGATGTTGATGTCATATCATTTTGAACGATAACGCGATAACAAACATTTTGCAAATAGCTTTATTGCTTTTTTATCGACGTCATTTACTGTTTGGTTATATGTACATATATATGTGCTTATATAATTTTACAGTTGACTAGTTATTAAATAGGAAAGAGCGAGGTAGCCTAGTGGTTAAGACTTTATTCAACCTGTTCTATTCTTATCCCGATTGTGCATCAAGGCCTATTATTTTTTGAGCGCTATAACAAACGCTCTTACAGTGAAGTCAACTATCGTAAAGAGTCTCAAACACGGCAGGCATGAAAAAAGTCGATGAAACAGACATTTGAGGTCGAGATCTAATATATTTGATATTATACGCCAGTAGAAGCTTTTGGATTGTGTATATTATAATTATGTAGCGTCTAACGAAATCGTTAATTTTCAAAAGTAGTCTATAAGGACTACATAAGATTCTCGTTTTCTTTCCTTGATAAAAATAGCCGAAACTGCGAGACAATCCACTATTGTCACGGTCTCGTCTGAGCGGTGGACGCCAATTATTCAATTTGTTCATTTCCTTTTTTAACTCCTCAAATTGCGCAGGTAAAATGGAACTGTCGGACATGCGTCTTGTACAAGGTCATTGTTAGTTAAAAAAGTTTAATTATTTTGTGGTTCGAAAAAAAGAAAAAGTCTTGCTTTTGTTACACCCTCGGGGTGTAGGCCCCTTTCGGGTGGTTTGTATGTTCGCGCCCTGCTAATACACGGTGGTACGGGGGCGGTCTATTTAGCCCTTGATGAGGACAGCAGGCAGGGTGCGGGTGCGGTGCACGCCGATTTCTGTGGTCCTAAATTAATCTTGAATTCAAATTCAAAATTCAATAATCATTTATTCATATAATTAGTAAAATGTATACTAATGAACGTCAAATAATAAATATATATGCAACGCTTCTAATATTACATTTACTGCCAGTTTTACAAATCAAGGGGTTAGAACGGAAGAGAAGAATACGAATAACGAATTTTATATATTGTTATCTCTGCTCTGCTTTGAGGAATAATGTTTTCTTATTTTGTAGTTGGTGGTGTGGGTGGCAATCGCGTATCTGATGGCGTTCCCTCCTCTCACAGAGACAAGGATGGAAGAAAGTATGGAGGTATCATATTTTACTATGATTTTATTATTTAATATTATTAATGGCAGCCTTATTAGAATAAATAACACTTCTACCACTTGACTCCGTCAATACCACAAGTATTTTTAATTTATTTCTATATACTAATTGTGAAAGTATACTTAAGATATGTTGTATAATTTTAACTCAAAGCTTTGTATCACCAGCCCCACCCGACATCAACGGAAAAGCCAGAGACGGAGGCACCACGCATCGAGCTGAAAATGGGCAAATGCTTTCACATGTCCCGGGAGCATTGCCCCACGGACCAGCGGTGCAAACGAGTGGACCCTGTGTCCGTCTTCTGTTGTGACGTAGACAGCTTTCGACTAAGAGAGGCTCTTGCTATCACAAGTATGACCACACGAATATAACAAATACATTAAATCAATTGAATACTGTATAGATAGATTTTCTTTCTTCAGGACTAGATTTTCATACGGTACGCATATAGTATAAACATACACCTACAACTTTTATTGTGGTTATACAACATTGGCGTTATAACAGTCTACCTAGCCAAGGTCCAAGATTCGGACTAAATCAATTGTTTTTCCGCAAGTTAAACTATTTTTTGAAGGGGGAAAATAAATTACGATAAGCCTTTAAAAATTAAAAGTAGCAGGCATTACAAATATAATTAAATGTACTAACAATTTTACCTTAGAGAACGATATATCTGCAAAAGGAAACAATACGTACAACAAAAACAATTTCGAAACACAATGCTAGCAAGTAACATGTGAAGTATGCACTCTGCATAATGCAATGCAAACTTAATCGATTTCACGCATTACTAATGTACGAGCGATCGTATCATTTACTCGTGTGACCACACAATATACTATATCTAACTAGTTAGTGCCACATAAGATATACTAGTTGAATCATACTATTTTAAAAGGTTAGAAAGTTAAAAGTAAAGTAAATCAGTGGCGCTACTACCTTTCATGATCTTCGTCAATCTAGTAGGCAAGTAGGTGATCAGTCTTAAGCAAGCCGGTTTTTTCTTGATGTTTTCCTTCACCGTTCGAGCGAATGTTAAAGGCGCACATAGAAAGAAAGTCCATTGTTGCACAGGTGGGAATCGAACCTACAACCACAGGGACGAGAGTTGCACGCTAAAGTCACTAGGCAAATACTGCTCTGTTCAATAAAAACTGATATAATAATTAAATTGTTGAATATGACCACGAATAAACTTGGTAACAAACGTATTGCATAATAAACGATGCGCGAAAAATTAAAATAAATATATTTTAAAAGATTTTATACAGAATATGCAACGGAACTTGTCAGATATACGGCATGTTAAATGTCGGCACTTAAAATTAATTAAAATTTGAATGGATTTGAAAGCGTTTATCACACTTTTACAGTTATGTATATTACATTTAGTTATGAAGTCCTGTCACAATCAATGTCTTATAAACCTAATGACCAAAGACAGAAATATTGAGTGTATTTACAATATTCTTAAACCTACATAGTAATAATAATAATTGAAAACAGTTAAACAGAAAACTAAAACAAATTAAAAAAGTTTGGTTCCTGTGGCAGTGTACCTTTAATTCTGGCAGCATTTTCTCGCTGTATTGCGTTACTTATACTTTGTTTTACTTGTGACTAAAGTATGTCGTTTAATACATATATGTTCAAACCGTTCAACAATTCTAATCGTGGCCATCGCATACGTCTTCATAGAGTCTGCTATGATTGAATGATATTGACAAATAACATACGACGTTACAAGAAACTAATACAATCTTTACATAACATCACTATGACAACACGATATAGTATAGCTTAAACTGATCTTTGTTTAACTATAAACGTCCAAAAACTTCAATGGTTAAATTTATCGTTTAAGTTCATATCGAAAAAAGGACGATTTTATCATCATTGGCATGTACCAAAGACCAAGAGATGCCCACTACGATCCATTATCTCACAAAGATTAACTTGTATTCGTGTCATCGCGTGGGTCGATATATAAATAACGGCTTAATTATTATAACCAATAAATTTACATTTTATTTGAATTTAAATAGTTCTGTTATTAGCTCCAAGGCCAGAATAGTAAAACGATCAAGAAACTATAATCACCTTGATTAACGTGATTTAATTAGTTTATTTGATTATTCTTCTTGGGTTCGTTATGTGTAAACAGTGTTTCCTTTTTAATTATTAGTTTTGTCAACTTGTTCTTGCTATGATTGTATTTTGAAATAACAGATGAGCGAAATATGGAAATGCAAGTTAGGGACGCCCTTATTGGAAACTTACGAGTTATACAGACGTTGGCAAATTACCTGGCAACTTTTTATTGAAGTGTGAATTTAAATTAAATGATTGGTACTCGCAGCTGACCGCGTTTTATCATTGTAGAGCATAGTGGGACAGTATCAAACACTTTTCTGTACATATGTTTAATGTTACAGTCCAAGAAGCAATAATTTACACATAAATAAATTATTAATTATTTACTATTAAATTATCTACTTTAATATGTAACAGCAGATAATCCATTGTTTTAAGTTTTGTAAAAGTATTTATTGTTTCAGTGACCCAGAACACGACAAATCTGCACGTTCTGAACGCGACGATTAAGGAGCTGGATGTGTCACAATCCACATTTAGAAGACTCACTTCGATGGCACTCACAGATGGAAATATCGGCAAGATTGTTGGTAACACATTTTTGTCATTTTAAAATTTTCATAATTATTATAAACAAATATGTATATGTAGTAAACAAAATCAAGCTGTCTTTTTCACTAATAATTTTTATTTGTACTTTTTTATATATAAGAATTATCACCTATGACACAATTGATGTGATATATCAGAGATGAATAGACAATATAAGAAAATTTAACTAACTTCACCATATTTCTTGAACATTTTGAATGACCATGACAATTGACATCTGATGACATTTACCTTTTAACAAATATAGATTTTAATTATTTAAAATTAATAATTATATACCTTATTTTCATTAAAAATATTTTGAAATAATATAATATTTTGAAAACTTGTAACCTTCCTGAGTCTTCAATAATTGATTAACTATCTAGTTTTCGTATTATTTTGATTAAAACTGAAACATGAACCATTATTCATTTTTTTTTATTGCTTTTTACAAACTTTTTAGAAATATTCTACGACCCTATAATCAATAATTGAGAACAAAGATTTAAGCACGAATACTAATGGAGAAAAGCTTAATATAAAAAAGTAACATTTTAATACCTATCTCAAAAAATGACCATATTTATCACATCAGATTTAATTACAAATATAACGAGACACAATTAGATAGTGGAATGCACTAAATTGAATAAAAAAGAGTTTACTTATCTGAAACTAACGAGGTGGAACAAGCCACATCACTTCTGAGACAATGGTTTGAATAGATTTCATAATTTTTGTATTTAGTAGGAATTTAATTAAATTATTATTATTTCAAGTTCAACCTTTCAAGCATAGCATATCTTAAAATTACTTTTTCCCTATATTAGAATTGTATACCTCAAAACATCCATGTTGCACTTGTAGTACCGAAACTCTTCCTGCCAGAATGAGCCTTCCCACTTATATGAATGGGTATAATACACCTTATACCTGAGTGAACCACTCACCTGACTTAAATTAAGATTATTATATTTCAGTTATTACAAATAAAATCAATTTGGAAACAATTGATATCCCAAAAGCAAATAAAGCCAACAATGACAGGTAATAAATCAGTTTTGACATAACTTGAATACTAAAAAGCCAAACAAAGGTGTGCACAACAGTGACAACATAACTTAACAATTTCATTATTTTGTAGGATTAAAGAAAGTTAAAGAAAATCATTCGAACTGAACAACAAGAATCCCCAAACAACTCCAAGAAACCTACAGGAAGACACCGGTATTATATTTAATTATCTCTATCTCTAAATAGAATAGAAATTATCAGTCTGTAATGGCTAAAATTATATTATTAACACATTTATATAATTATATTAATATAATGTGTTAAAAATTTATAATATGAATTATAAAAATTTTTAAGTTTTGCATGGACAGAGCTTAAATTAATATTCTTTTTTGTTGCAGAAAGCAAGTAGTTTTGGAGAAGCCTCTAGATCACAACCAAGTAATATTAATTTAAAATTACAAACCGAAATTTGATGAAGACATTAGAGTCACTTAAAAATAAATAGTATAATGAAATAAAAATGTTTTAAAGATAAATAGTGTTTTATTTGTTTAATGTAAGAGAATAATAATAAATATTTATTTAATTAATTTTTCAAATGTAAACTGAACTTTATTGACTTTAATGACTCCTTTTCCAGTCTTTGATTATTTAATTGTAATTAATTATTTGCATGCAATCAAAAACTATTTTTAATATGCCAAAGAAGTATAACTTCTTACGCGCGTACATAAGTACACGCACCCTTTTTTTTATTTAATGGCAAGTAGGTGATCAGAAGTTTGCGCCTTCCAACCTGACACAAAATGTGTTTTATCGACAAACGAAGTTCTTAGGAGTTTCGAAAGCTCTTTGAAAAAAGTTTTATAGCAGAATGAGAATTCAGCTATGAAGACGAGCTGAAGCAATCTTTAAAGAAGGCTTTTGTCCTCTAAATTTGAATATCTCTCTTCATAAAATAATAACTTGTGTAAAATTATTTTGTTCATGCTAAAGTTAAGGATCTTTCTCAAGAAGAAAAGAAAAATAATGGTAGTAAGTATTTTGTTTTTGAAATAGTGAAACAAAAACAGTCCCTTTTTTGTTTATCTGTTTTGTTTTGATCATCTAGATTTATTTTTATTTAAATTCTGAATAAAATGGTATTTATTTGTGCTTTTTACTTAATTCTTATTCTAGTATTTGGAAAAATCCATAAACGCACATTTAGTATTGTAGCATAATCCTAGCTGTTAGCTAAATATTTTAACTACTTAATTCGACAAACGTTGCTATAATTGTTGGTTTGTTATCAGGTCAATTCCCTAAGTACTCCTCGATTGCATGCCTGAACATCTCCAACAATAACCTGAGCAGCATCACGCCGCAGCCACCAGGCCAGCGACCTTTCGCCTATCTCTTCACACTGTCCATACTCGACGCTTCTGCTAACAATCTAACAGAGTTCCCGCTGAGCCTCGTACAGAGTAATAGGAAGATACATGTTGACCTCTCGGGTATGTACACATATATACAGCCGCCACTTAATATACATATATAATTACGTTTGCTTAACATCTAAGTTATAATAAAAAAAAATCACTTTATTTGACGACAAACAATTACATTTTGTACTTACATTCTAAAGGTTATAAACATACAATATGCAACGAATCGTGTTCTCACTATTAATTTTGGTCAACCTCGTACATATAATAATTCTATGTGCACTAGCGTTTAAACTAGGCCTAGCCTGTATCTTAAACGCTAGTTCCTTCCAGTGTGAACGAATGGTTCTAGAACTTATCGTAATTAAGACATTAAAAGCGCCACTAAATAACTAAAGTACGTAGTACATAATATTATATTGTGTAATTATACTGATTTTGTAAAGATTCTAGGGTATTTTTATTCTACCAAGCAGCAATAAGGGGTAGCAAATCTTACCTAATATAATAAAGAGGTTAAGTTTGTGAGGTTATAGGTTGTAATCTCTAGATCTACTAAAACTATTATTTTATTATTTTACTAATAGAAAACCATGTTATTTGTGTGTGTCAATAATATTTATATGTCGTAGCTAATTGGTTTAATTAGCCGTTCAATTAACAGCCTAGCCTTTAAACTAAACGGCGCCGTTTAACTAGCGGCCTGTAAGATATTCAGCCTTAGCGTTTGTTACAACATTTAATAAACTGGCTAGCTTAATGCTTAGGCAATTCGTACGATAGAATCATTATTTGGCAGAAATAAAAACGATGAAACATATGACATAAAAAATATTTCTTTTGAAATTAAATTGCTTGAGTCAAATTCACATTATTATTGTCAACTTGTACTTGTTATTTTTCATCAAAGTTGTGGTTTGCCGACGCAATATTGACAGTTTGAAAAGTTTCATTTCGAGTTTGAGAGTAGTAGAAAATGGAATTAAATTTAAATTAACAGTCAACGGGCTAGGCAAGTAATGAAACGTCATCGTTCCAAGTTTTGCCTAGCTGTTTGATCAACTGGCTGAATATCTTTCAGGCCGCTAGTTAAACGGCTAGGCTGTTAATTGAACGGCTAATTAACCGAGTTGGCTGCGACATATATACATATATCGTGATAGTGGGCTTTCCAAAGAAAACTTTTCTCATGAACGCTACCTTAACGATGAGAGATATATAATTGAGTTCTATTAAAAAGTTGGAGAGAATTGTCTCTGGGCCTATAAAAAAGTCAGCGACAGCATATGGCTAACTTTTATATTATATAAAAACAAGTCCTCTGCCGCGTCTATCTGTCTGTCTGGTCGCGGTAATCTCAAAAACTACTACACTGAATTTATAACGGTATATTATTTTTCAAGGTTTACGAGATACGGTTGCCCCTGCGACGCCGGGGAAGCGAATCGCTAATAATATATAAATATAGTTTAGTATCTAGTATTACATTTTACAATTCGCCGATTTACCTTTACGACTTTTCCTCAGGCAACAATTACCTGCCCTGCAAGCACTTCCAGAAGGCAATGGAGGCTAACAACGGCTCTCTTCTGCAGTTCCTTAACCACGAAAACACCTACTGTGCCCTCGACCTGCGATTCAACTGGTTCCAGAACGTGCAGATCGTTCAGATTGACCACTTGCAAGTTCAGAAAGATGTATGTTCATTCTATTAAATGTGTGTCGGAAACGGAGACCCGTTTCGATATTATTTTTGTCTTTGTAAAGAAGTAGGCGGATTTGACATTTCATAGATTTTCGTGTAACTGTTTAAAATAAAGACCCAAGAAAAAAAATCTCTAGATATTTTATTCGAAGTTTGTAATTCCAGTTAAACAAGAGCTGCCAAGACATAAAGCCAGCGAACATTAACTGCACGTGCACGACCATGCTTGAGCTGGTGCTCCACCGTGAGGCTACTTACGTAGTGGCTGTGGACTGCTCCCAGCGCGGTCTCACGCAGCTGCCCACCGGTCTACCCAATAACACTGTTAACCTGAATGTGTCTTATAACAACGTGAGTGAACGATTAAAAAAAACTTTTTTGATAACTAAATAATAGATAAACCTAACTTATTTAAATAGACGCCTTTATAATTAAGCCACTCGCTATAAACTAACTTCAAGTTCCAATCTTTTCAGTAATTGTTTTATTACACTCACTCACATGCACCCACACACTCACTTATGCACTCAGGCGAGTCGGAAACAGTTGAAAAACAAAAATAGTTAAAAAAAGAGATTTTATTTTACTTTGTGCCTATTTTAGTATAGTAGTTTTATTCTAGGAGTACATTTTCTTCACAACTATTTAACTAATGTATACAAAATATTGTAAGACCTATTTTAAAAGAGTAAGTCTGGAGTTTCTTGTCCATTCTTCTCCACACGAACCTTTTGGAAGGGGCAACTAGAATCATCTTTATATTTTATTTGACGTTCAAAAGTGCCATTTTAGGTAGTCTAATTGGAATAAATGATTTGACTATTGACTATTTTATGGAATTTACTACAAAGTTTGTCGTGAAGGAGCTGGGAACCCTGACACAGGTATTTCTTTACTTAAATGGGTTCCCAAATTGAAATTATAATGAATTGTTGTGAAATGAATAAACACATATTTATTTATCTATAATAATCTATCTTCAGAATGCATATTCTTACTAAGGAGACGTAAACTTAACTTAAGATAATCTTTTGCTCACACGCATTATCACACAGGAAGCAGCTTTGCTGCTGCTGAAAACTATTTTAGTAGTATTATTTTTGTGGTATTAGGATACCACAAATCTAATGGTGCTATAATTCTAATATAAATAATAATTTAATCTAGTATATATAATTGTATATACTAGATTTCTAAGTGGATTACTACACCCATTATTGTTACGCTTAGTCTAAGATAAATGCCGTGCAGGCAAAGTCAGTGTTCTAGATGAAGGTACGGAAATATATTGTAACATGAATTAATTTCAGATAACGTCCCTCCAAGCAATAGCGGACGACGCGTCGTACGATCACTTGCGATGGTTGATAGCAGACCACAACGACATTGGCAGCATTGTGGAGCTCGAGGGATCCAAGTTCATTGACAACTTCAGGCTCTTCTCCATCACTCATAATAAACTCAGATCTGTGAGTAGTAATATATTGTCGTGAACATAATTGAGGCTGATTTTTCTCGATTTCGTTTCATTGTTAATATGTATTTATTAATCAAAAAACCTTTCCTAACCAAAAATAATTTAACAAGTACAAAACATATTTGTAATTTTATCCAAAAATAATTTTAGAGGCTTTCAAATACAATATCATGTGACGTTTTTAAAATATGTTCTCGAATTGTTATATTGACTTAATAATATTTTAGATCCACCCTTACGTGCTGTCGAACCGTCTTGAGACAGCCGGCGCCACAATGCTCATCGCTGAAAACCACATTCACTGCGACTGCAACACCGAGAAAGTTGTCAAGGTATATTACAATAGAGTGTTCTGATGCTAGCTGCCTTCAGGATTGCTTTTCATATCAAGGCATTATAGTCAAAAAGTACAAAGTCAAAATATTTTTGAAGTTATACTTCTTTAGGCGCGTTATGAAAAATTTATGAGAGTGAAATTTTACGATGCGCGCGCACCTGTGACACAAAATTGGGAGTGTGATTATAGCGTGCGCGAGCGAGATAGGAATAAGACAATCTACAAGTAAAAAGAAATAGAATATGCGTGAAGTTCGTATGCCAAGAATTTTGAATGACCATAATGACATTTGTCATTTACCTTTTAAACAAATAAAGGAGTTTTGATTAATTTTTCAAAGAAATTTATTAATTTTATATTGTGCAATACTGCCAAAGCTACAACATACTTCTTAGTGTTTGGTAGAGATGTTCTAAATATATAATTATATATACTTTTAACTAAATAGAATTTATGTTACACTTAATGTAAGAGAATAATAATAAATAATTATTTATTTAATTTTTCAAATGTAAACTGAACTTAATTGACTATAATGACTCCTTTTCCAGTCTTTGATTATTTAATTGTAATTAATTATTTGCATGCAATCAAAAACTATTTTTAATAATGCCAAAGAAGTATAACTTCTTACGCGCGTACATAAGTACACGCACCCTTTTTTTTTTTCATTTAGGTAACACTTATGAACTCAATAAAGAAATACATACACATTTCATTCTTATTTTACATTTACTGCCAGTTCTCAAATCAATCAAAAAATCACAAAAACACTATGAACCTGCTACCATTATTAATTCTTTAATGCTAAATATAATTAAGATTTTAAAATTGTTTAGGTAATCAACTAATTTTGTATTCATTTATCACGTTTATGTTTAAGCCGTGGCTTCTCGAACATAACACGGCGTTACTGGACTACAAAGACCTCTGGTGCGACAACAACATGGGCCCTGTCGTGGAATTGAAAGAGTTCCAGGTCTGCCACACTCCGCGTGACTGGACGGACTACATCTACTACATCATAGGGCTAGAGGCCCTGGTGTTAGCGCTTCTGATTAGCAAGGTCTCTTACGACTACTGGGTGTTTAAGACCGCGGGATACTTGCCGTGGCCAGCCAACAAAATGCCAAGGTTGCCTTGCGATTGGCTTTGCGAATAAGACTTTCGGTGACGTCATAACTAGTCTGGGATTTGTGTCGTGGGCATGTAGACTTTCGGTCAGTTTAGCTCGATTCGACAAATGCTTATTGTAGTGTCGTGCTTAAATGTGTATTAATAATTTTATATACAACATACAAATAGTTACGAAAGAATACAAATTTGTAGAATTATCATGATTACAAACACGCACACAAAACTTTTTTCGCTTGCTTTGCACAACGTATCGCAACTGCGTGGTTATATTTTTGTAAATATTTTTTTCCTTAACCACCACGTTCAGTGGTTCCACCCTTTGAACGAGTGTGATTGTTTCTTGAGTCTGTGAAAACTAACTTCACGAGCTAATTTAGAAGAAACATTAATCGAAGTGCCTTAGAAATAAATTTAAAATAGTTAAAAAAACCGGCAAAAATAATACAACGAATGTAGTAACCATTTAAATTTTTCAAATTCATTAAAGTATTTTGAATATCTTTAAACGCGCTTTTGGAAAACCTTGCCATATTCGGAGAATCTCAAATAAAAATATTTACTAAGACATAATAAGTTTTTTGTATTATTTTTGAACTAAAGATTATATAAGAATGTTCTTCGTTCTAAATTGCTTATTTTGTGGGAGGCACATTATATGTATAATAGAAGTTGTCTTAATCATAATATTTTATAGTACATGATATTTGATTGTAATCAGTTTTTAGGAAACCAATAAACATATATAATAGATCAATCCAATGGCATAGTCTATACTCTATTTATGTGGAACATTAAATAACGTCAAAAGTTTTCACTGCAATTGTCTGAGGGAGTCGATTTGGTAAATTAATTGTGATTTATGAGGCTAGATTATATTTGTACATTTTCCACCCATCATAAATAGCTTTTTAAAGAGTATTTTTAACACACTATGTCAAAGCAGTAGAATTAAAAACTGGCAATATTATAACTGTCAAAACGAATTTACAGCCAATATCCAAAAACAATAGATATTTTAATTTTTCTGTGCCATTTGGCTTTTTGTTACATTTTGTACATATTAGATGTAGAATTTTAGCATAATATTTTATTTTTATTAGCTTTTATGTATATATTAGACGTGAAGACTGTATATTTTGTACTTTTGTTTTAAATAAATCTTGTTTTACGTTTACTTTACTGTGTTTATCTTGTACATTGCGTTTACAAATCGCTGCGATGACCCTGAAAAATGCTAAGTTATTTCGGCCGCTAAGAATATAGTAGACCATCAGTGGTTAGACTAGTCGAGGATCCTTCCTTTAGCTTAGAGTAACAGTATACCATATCCTTACTCCTCTAACAAAAAGTTACTAGTTTTTTATCTATTATGAAGTTATGTAAACATTCTTATTTTTACCTTTTTGGTGGGAAAGCCAGCACCATAGTTCAGTTAGAAGTATTTAATGGGATACCGTAACAGATTCATTTCTGAGTCTGTTTAAATTTTTTACACTTCTCTTACTGAGATCAAGGCTAGATGAAGCTTTCATTGTTAAAAATCAAATACTAAAGTCTTGTCCGTTTCATTAAGAACTTCTTTATAAGTCAGATTTTTGGGTCAATCGTGGCGATTACCTAACAAGGTTTTCCCTCACTATTTGCGAACTGAAAAAGGCTTAAAAGAAAAGGGTTGCACGCCTAACCTCTAGGCTAATCGTGCACTGCATGTAGTCAATATAAGCAGAATAGTAATAAAAAACAAAAGACATTGACTAAATTTTAATTAAAAGCGTCCGTTACAAAGACGATTCATACATATAAAAATAACATTACTAAGTACATCACATCAGTTTGCGCTATTACTATGACTAGACAAATAATAAAGTATACATTTAATAGGAGAAATGTTTATAAAATATACAAATTGAACACGGTCTTGCTTTCACTTATGGAATGAACAAAACAAATCATTGTTAAATAAATTAATACCTTACTATAAAACGTGGTCTAAACATAGTATCGCCTTTATTAGCTATGGTTACAAATTCTTTTGCATTGGAATGGACAGAAAAATAAAATATTCACTGACGTGATAGTTGTCAACTAAGAGTGTATTTTCTTAGAATAAAGACATCGACTGGGGATCGCACTTTTTCGTGCAAAATATATATTTTTTTAATTACTGACTAATGACTATATAGAATATAATATATTAATAGACACGTAACGGATGTTATTAAATATAATCTCAAAAAAGAGGTAAAAAATCAACCTTAAAAACATAATACAAAATCAGGTACAAAAGGAAAATTAAATGTTTAAAACCAACAAATCACAATATACAAGTTTAGATTTACATGTTAGCGTAATCATTAAATAAATACAGTCTATCAATTACAAAGAGCCTTAACTATACTAACACACCTTTAAGTCTACCTACATATAATATTAGGCTTTAAAACAAATTTATCACTACCCTCAAATCCGCGTTTAAGCTTTTCAAAATAGTTGTTCATATTCAGTTCTTCGAGGTTTTAGGCCTAACCGACAGATGCGTAGATAAAATATTCGTTTAAAGGAGATCAAAACAGTGTATTTTACAATGAAAATCTTACCTGTTACCCTTATACAAACTACGATTGGCCTGAGACAAAATCTCTAAATTATATCAAATAAATATAAAATTACAATTAAAACTAACATCAGTCTGATTTAAGCTTTAAGTTATTAAAAATAATCTTAATAAAAACTATTAAATTAGCCCGCGCCGATTGTTTTAACATATATTACATAAAATTCACTAGAGATGAGCAGAGTACTTCATTTACTACTCGAAATGATTCGTTTAAATTGTTATTTTGCGATAATACCGTGTCAAGTTATTAAATATTTAATAATTTGGGCTTAAGTTTTTTAAGATAATAAAAAATATCAATGTTATTTTATTTATAATGGAAAGAGCGTTAGAACTTCGCTAGTTGCACTTCGATATACTTATAACCGAGTTTTCTTGTACTCGGCTCATCTCTAATATGTACTAAGGTCCCAACTCCTACTAACGTACACAATAATGGCCTTATTTTTAATCGCTTATATACAATGCATTAACTACGCCAGATCCGATAGTTTTATCAAGTATTCGTATACGTCCGTTCAATTTGACATTTGACGCGTTCATTCCTTCCACAAGACAAGCTAAATGGAATAAATCCCTCCGTGGCTAAACGCTTACCACTCTTTCTGACTCATAGCCTGGTGAGACTGGTCGCCCATTCCCCGTGTGGTACTTGGTACTATATAGAACTTCCGTTATTCAAAAGTAAAGTATTCACCGGTACTTTTGTACGTTATTCAAAAATGTATGTGCGTTTTGTGGCTGTAATATTAAAATTATAACCAAAGCTAAAATTATGGTTTTATTTGAGATTAGTCCCATTTTCTTTGGCTTATGTGTTAACCTTAAAGAAATCAGTGACGCTACCACCTATTTAGGTCTTGGCCTCAGATTTCAGTATCAGTTTCATGATCATTTGTCAATCTAATAGGCGAGTAAGTGAAGAATGAAAAAGAATGTTAAATGCGCAAATAGAAAGTCCATTGGTGCACAGCCGGGGCAAGAACCTACCACCTCAGGGATGAGAGTCGCACGCTGAAGCCACTAGGCCACTACTCATGGTGTTAGGTTCTGACTTTTACAATTGAATGATTTCAATTATTTTTGATATAAATTGAGTTCAAAGATGAATAAGACTAATATCTATACTCAGAGTCGTCGTTCAACTATGTATCGCTTATTGTTTATTGATAATTAATTAGCTTATTATATAAATGGAATTAATAGCCGATTAAAAGAAACCAGAGGGGTGACTTTGAAGTTCCGATTGCATCTATGATAAACTTATTGATATTTTAAACTTAATTAAAGACTAGTATGGCTTTCACTAGGTAGTATTACGAATATTTAAAAGCATTTTTAAAATATCATATTGGACTTGAAGGAAATTAATCATACCCTACCGATATTTCACATCAGGTAAGGTAAAAATAATGATAATAATTAATGTGAGGTCGTATCAATTCATATTACAGGGTTTAAAATAGAGTTGCCAGCTCGTTTAATTACCAGAATATAACCAAAATATGGGACACGAGTGGTATTTATTATTTCCTTGGTTTAGGCAAATACAACAAAAAATAAACTCATTGCGAAAATCTCTTGCTTTAAGATACCGAGTTATAGAAAAAAATACATAAATTCTATAGATAATTATAAATACTTAATCACAAAACCTGGACACTCCCGTATTTCGCCGCTTCACGCTGATCACCTGGCAACTCTAGTTCAAACTAAATGGTTCCCGAAACTGATGATGTTTCTTCGTAAGACGGTCCCGTAGCCTGGATCTATATGATGAACTCCTGGCTGACGGGAGAATGCAGCTAGCTGAGAGCGCTGTAGGCGGGCGGGGGCGGGGAAGGCTGGTCCCTTCCCGGCAGAAGAACGGCGATGTGGTATGGCGGCGGCGCCTCGGAGGAGCAGGAGCCCCCGGCGCTTCCTTCCGAGTTCTGCAGCAGGGTCGCTAGGGATACGTCTTCCGAAGGCTCAGAGGGTGCCTGAAAGAGATTGTCGTTGTCGTCGTCGTTACACCATATTCTCGGAGATGTCTATACACTTACCCCTTTATAAATAAAAATATATGCGTCAAGTGTCAACATTTTATTATACAGAGCGTCCCAAGACATCAACGGAAAGTAATTTAAAGATATTTTGCTGTAAGAAGACTTCATTTTATTTTGAAAAGAAATACAATTAACTATCAGCTAGATTGCCCCAACCTTTTAACAAAATTTAAATTTCGTGTAACCAATAGATATCCCAGACTTCCCATCATTCCATTTGTCCCTCCTTTCCGGAGAACGCGTTTTGGCCAAAATTCACCAATGTCCAGTTTGAGCCTTCTTTTAAACGAGCTGGGTCTGGATATCCATAGTTGCTCCCCTCACATTTTAAGAGCGATTTTCGTTTAATGTTTATTTAAATTATATTATTGTTTTGCTTAATTAATTGTATTATTTCTTACATGCTATGTTTGCCTGTAAGTGCTTGACACATTAAAAATTCTATTTTATTTTTCTTTTGTTGTGTGCCGAGCGTTGGCAAGCTTTTATAAATAAATAAATACAGTATTCAATGATTTTCTAAAAATTACTTGGGAATCGAACCGACTCAAATGTGAAAATAAACACCCGTTATTATATAAATATATGCCAATCACGAGAATGGTCAAAAACCAGATAATGTTAGACCCCACCTGATCAGTTTTACAGTATTAAGTAAATATACTCGTACAACAAAATTGAATAAATTAGGAAGAGTATTATGTCTCACCATCCGTTCCCTAGTGCCCGTAGTGGAGACGCGATCTGGCGGAAAGGCCGGAGGCACGGGAGCCCTGGGCAGACAGCGGGACAGCGCGCATACCGCCCCGCTCACGCACGCTATCGCCGCACACACCAAGCCTGTGTCGCTGCTGCCCGCTTCGTGAATCATCTAACATAAAGACTTCAACTTCAACACTTCGATCGCCCAGAAACCACCGCAGAGACCTTGGGTCTCCTGACTAAACTCACACGGTGGCCCTGAATTCAATATCCGATATTTCTCTGTGCGTTATTAACACTTACGGTGAAGGAAAACCTTACCTTAACCAAACCAAATTTAGACGAGTTTTTAGACATAAAAGACCATTATAAAAACAGTCTCAATAATATATCTGATGCATACCACTTTGAAGGTTTCCCAAATTTGTCCTTATTCTTAAAACATTACCTGGGCGTGACTAGAACTAAAAGCAACGTAAACAAACTTTGCTCACCTGTCGATCGAAGTAGTATTTAACACATGCTATAAAGAGAGTGGCTAAAGCGAGAGACACGAGTAAGCCAAACTTCAGATGTGGTGCCATCATGGGGGAGTGCTGGAGTCCTAGGGCCGCGGTACGGAGCAGGGTGTCCGGGGTGACGCTGCGAGCCGCCGCCAGACTGGCAATAGTAGGCTGAGGGGGCTCCACAGGAATTTCAACATACATTGATTCTTCTGTTCGCCTGGATGTATGCACTTGAGGTATTGGAGGAGGGCTGAAGAAAATATAAAACAGCTTAACGTTTATTTTGGAAAATAGTGTCTCAAACGGTAGTGTTTGATTCAATGACCTAGTTTTTCACTTACTTTAAGTTATTAATGTGTTGAGCCAGGTGTACTGCATTCAATCAGATAGTGTATAAAATATTATTGAATTGAGAAGGATCAGAAAACCCAATATAAGAGCTGTTGTTCTATAGTCTGTAGGTACTTTGATTATTATACAAAGGTGTAGCCGCCTCTTTTGTGACTCTGATTAGTTGTTAATTTGTGGTGAAATACATTTTTTAATCCTTTACAAATTCTATATAAAAATATGGTAAACATATTTTTATATAGAAATCAGTACATGACACATGTGTCAGTCAGTCACCTACCCATACTGAGTGGCGCGTGGTACTCGTGGTCGCCTGGGAGCGCAGTCGACGGGCACAAAGCGGTGCACAGGCGCCGCCATGCCCTTGCGCCCTCCCGGCGCACTCACGCCAACACGCCCGCGTGATCGGCCCAATCCGCCTGAAAAAAGATGAGTGTATTTAAGAAAATTACCAGTATATTTTTTTTAAAGCGCAAAGCTAATCATTGTGGTTAAGAAGAATAAACAATAAAATATAGCAGGAATGTTTTGGCACATGGTTTTTAATAAAATGGACTAGTTGAATAAGAGTATATGCAACATACATTACTTAAGGTGAGTTCCTAAACAAGACTTAGTGTAAACTATGTCTCCCGTAAGTCAAAATGCTACAAGTTTAAGACATAGTTGTTTTTGAATCAGTTATCCTTAATGTAAGATTCATAGTCACTACTAAATGAAAATTTAAGTTAGCATATTATGCTAAAACATATAATTTTTTTCCCAAAAACTAGTCAAAAAAAAGTATCACACAATGTTGTGTTTATGTGAACATTTATTTAATTGTTATTAAGTAAATTATGTTTAATGGTGATAGTATTGGCTTCTAACCTACTAGTAATAGCAAAGGAAAGTGTTTTAATAGGTACTAGTCATGCATTAAGTAGGTATACAATTTAATGAAATTATCAATTATTCTATAATGTATATATATTTTATATTCAATTCAAATGTCATAGGTTTCAGCTTTGTGACTACTTTGGTTTGGCAACTATAAAAATCTACAGTATACTGGCATTATAGATTTTTAGGATTTTATATGATTTTCAAACTATAAGACAGAACCTATAAATATATAAGAATGTGTAAAGAATACCTGCAGACAAAGATGATGGCACCCTATGACGACCACTATAACACTGGCTTTGTCGTTTATCTATCCAAAAATGCATTTGGAAGCTATTGTTCAAGACTACACCCAAAATAAACTATATTTTGCTTTGCTCCACTAATTAACAAACGATTCTCATTATTATCAGTATATCTATAACATTTAACTAAGCAAATTAATATAGCATTACAAACAATACTTATATATCTGAGAATTATTAGTTTAATTTATAAAATAATATGCAGAACACAAATAATCACTTTTAAAATTTTCACTAACACCTTGTTTAAAATTTAATAAAATATTGTAACACTTAAGTAAATCACCGTAAAACCACCTCGATAATGTATTACCCAAAATTAGGAATTAATATTAAAATAAAAACTAGCATTTTGTACTATGACTGCCATTATTAGTGCATGGGGCAGGGTGGGGGCGCCTCTTGGAGTTTTCACTTTTCAGTGTGGACTCAACTGTGGCTAAAGCCTAAAGCTTTGGGGGTGAGGTTGAAATCGGAAAACCGGAAATGTTGCTAACCAAAATAATACACATAATTTTTTTTACAGTATTTTGGGAAAGTATGATTTATGTTAAATTAAATATCGCAATGCTGACAGATACAACTAAAAAATATAACAATTAGGAGAAAAATAACAGACAGTGTGTAGGTATTTGAATAAAGTCAGCTAGATACTTCCGGAAAATTCACCAGCTCTGTTCAAAAACAGAAACAATACTTAATAAGGTAAACCAATTTTTTTGTTTAAATATTTAATTACGACAACTTTTTAGATTGTTACCATAAATAACATCCTTTTTTTAAAATTATACTTTTACATTATCAACAACTTATCATTTTAATAGAAAGTATAAGCTAAGGAATTAATATGCACTAAACAGTATATTGTTTTCGAACGATAACGGATGTGAGTTATATAAATGAAATGCCTCGCATTAGAAACACTAAGATGTGAGCTGTGCCTTGTGCGAGTTAGTGTTGGGTTTTGAGTGACAATTAACATAATTGTTAGTGAAATAGAAATTTTTAGTTCTATTTTACATCAGTGCTTTTTATTTTGTGTTTTAATGTTATTTTATTAGACTTATTTACTTACACAGCGGCCAACTAAAATTGTGAAGGCGAAGTGGCGGCTCAAATAATATATTTATTGTAATTGCATTTTGTTTCCCAAGCTGTTAGTTACGGTTGTGCGAGTCACGATGCTTGTCGCACAGTTTAATTCACGATCTTGGCATAAAGACAGTCGTCAAGCGAAGCCCTACTGCCAGTGCTGGAATAAGAAATCACCATTATCGTGGACTCAGTTAGGTGCTTGTCTATGTGGAGAGGAAAATGATGGTATGGCTTTTTATTGTTTAACTTATTTTGAAAATCGCATCTATATTATTTATTTAAACGTAATAAATATAATTTAGGATAATATTCCGTATTGCGCCACCAGCGATTTTGAGGCTGATTTTTTTTATGACTTCGTCATGAGTTCTCATCACCATGACTAGTGTTGGTTTACAGATCATAACGCGACTGTAAAAAAAAACCAGCCTCAAAATCGCTGGTGGCGCCATACAGAATATTTACCATAATTTATATTATATTCTTATACAAATCATTCATCTTAAATTGTAATTTAAGGAATGTTCATGATTTGTTATGTCATTGGACACAAGATAACAAAAGAGCAACAAACTTAATTAAAATTATGTATGTACCTGTATGTACTATTTACAAAAAAATGCTTTATGTTTACTTTTATTTGCAATACTTGTTTTAGTGTGTGAATGGAAATGGGAACAGCCAATAGAAACTGGAAGTAGTTGGGTTGTGTTAAGTGAGGATAAGAAGCAGGTGACATTCCATCCCTTCTACAGTTCCGGCACTGCTGCAGCTAAGGGTGATACACCTTTGTTACATAACCAGCACTATTACTGGGAAATCAAAATACTAACTGACACATATGGCACAGATATTGTAAGTTGTTTGTATTGCCATTGACACTAGGGTTTTTGTTGTTAGAGAGTGTCAATTATGAAGTTAATCACATTAATTTGAATTAACTTCATGATTGTGGTAATCTTTAACTGATATTTTTTTAATTTAAAAAATGTAATCATATATTATCATTAATTAAGGCACATATTTTTGTCCTGAACAAAATAACTTAAGTTGTCTTATTCTAGTCAAAACTGGCCTTTCCCTACATGGGTATCTAACCAGATTTTTTAAGGAATTTGAACCTCCATTGTCTTTGACTATTTTTTGTATTTTGGAATATTTGTGTAAGGAATAAATGTTGTTATTAATTAAATTATTATCCTTATTTTGTAAATACAGATTGAAAAACAAAACATAGGTTGTCATAGCTATGTTATCCATATAATTTAATGGTGCATTTCTTATTTGCCTTTTTTTGAGGTTAACAAGTTGTTTATTTAGGTAGGTTATTCCACTATTTTATGCAACATGTTTTATATTAAGTAAATTTGCTTTGAAGATTTATAAATAATTCAATTATTTCTTTGTTGTGAGTTAACTAGTAATCATTGTTAGTATCTTAGTAGTATCTTATAGAACATTTTTGAAGTATAATTGAGTAATATTTGTCATTGTTCTTTTTAAATAATACAATAGACTATAATATAGAAAAATGTTGTAATAAAGGTGACAATCCTTTTCTGATATGAGAATTCAATGATAAAAGCAATATATTTTTATAATTGTTTTGTCTACAGATGGTTGGAGTCGGTACAAATAAAGTCAACCCAACAAATGTTCAATTTCAATTCACATCTCTATTGGGACAAGATTCAGAGTCGTATGGTCTATCATACACCGGAGCTATTAGACATAATGCAATGATCTCGAAGGATTCAGTTGGATTCTGTAAAGGCAGTATTGTTGGAGTTCGAGTTGATATGTGGAGAGGAACATTAGAATTTTATTTGAATAGGAAAGCACAGGGTGAGTTATTTTAGTCATTATTGGTTATGAGTTAAGAAAATGTTGTTAGATCAACCCATATGCTTCTTTGTCTGTCTACAATTTTATTTAAAACTAGCGTGAGAGAAATACAAGAAATCAAAAGTCATGAACATCAGTGCAGCAATCGCTCTTGAGATTTATGTTGGAAATATGGGTTTGTTCGAACACTTATAACTCTTGTTATAAACTTTGTTTTATATATTAAGATACAGAGAACTATAAAAATAGAACCTGAATTGGTCTAGCTTTATCCCAATCATAAATTATAATTTCTAGAAGTTTTATTCTAATAATCCTGGAAGTAATTTTAAAACAAACATTAAAATGAAAAAATTTCAAACACATGTATATGCTAGATAATAGATATATTAAATATGTGTTTGTATTGTCTGCGGTTTTGCCGCATTTGTGGTTTATTATTAATAAACTTGACCCTTAGTGTTTATTTTTTGAAGCATCAGATTAGTTTTTCCTTCCGATATATTGTTGTTTATCTGCTTAACGTCGCCTTATTGTTTACTTATGTTCAAAGTTATTTTGACTGCGTATATCAACATATAATATATGTTGATATAAAATACGTTACATGCAAGTTAACATATAAAATAGAAATAAATTAATCGCAATGTTTAAAAAGTACTGTACCTATGGAGAATAATGTTCGAAAGTACGTAGACATGAATAGTAATAAAATCGTCCATATAATAATTGTCTGATAAAAAATTCTTGTACATATTTACGTCCGTACATTTTTAAATAAATCTTATTTAACGCGAATTCATAGCGTGAGTCTCTGATGCTGTCTTGTCGTGTGCTGAAGCATTTGTACGTGCTGTAAAGTAAATATTATTGTAATAAATTTGTCAGCTAGTGCAGTAGCTTATTTACCAACGACAAAAAACGGGATCGTTTGTTTTGCCAGTGATGTTGTTGGATTTGGATTCGTTTTGTTTTTGAGCAAGAATTAAGCACTTTTGGTTTGAAAAGCACGCAATATATACTTATAGGTATATAAACATGTATTTACTTTCATATCATCACTTATAACAGTTGTTACGATAAGAGATGAACTTCGACCTTCTATTAACCAAAGTTCAAATCTTACCGTGCAGTTACATACAATCCATCAATCTTTGAATTGTGTACCTATTTCTATATAGTACCTATAGGATTCTCTACCTTAAAAAGTCGATTGGAATTAGACGTTGGGTTCATCGCGACCATAACTGTATGAGCAAGTATTAGTTCCGAACATACATATGCACCGATATGCAACACGCTTGAATTTAATATGCCTTTGTGATTTCATGGAATATAATTATTGTATATAGATTAAATAATTAAGGCCATTAAACGCACTTCTTAATCGTAAACATCTAGCTACACTACCTATAGGAGTAACTATGTATTTATACGAATAGTTCAAACAATCAGAAACTGTCGTTTTCAAAATGCAATGAAAATCAATTTTAAATGACGTAATTCTGACGAAAAGTTATAAAATAGCTGAATCTGTTTTTTATTTAAATGGGTTGATAATTGTTTTAGCCCCTGCACACGAACATGATCCTGTAAAACTATTGTTTGTGCGTACCTACCTGGTTCAAATATAAAAAAATCTTAACTCCAATTTATTAATTAAATAACACAAAACAGGAGAAAAATAAAATAAAGACAAGGGATATTTGTGGTGATCTTACTGCAAAAAGTAGTTTCTCTCAGACAATTAATTTTCATATTAATTTGCGTCGTATTCCATTACGTTTAGTGAATATTGATAAATCAACCGAATTGTGAGAAGTTAGATGCGAATTGAAATAAAAATTCATGATTATTTTTTAAATAATAAAGGTCCTAAATATAATTCCTAAGTATATTCAACAATTAAATTAGCTGCTTGTATTTAGATCATAAAATCTTCCACTCTTAACATGTGATACCAATAAAGATAAGAAAACGTGATTACTAATTTTGTTTACTTTTGTTAAGTTCCTTATTGACATTATCTATTATATTTAATAATCTAGAATAACGTCATAGATATCTTTAATTTAAAGCTAACTGCAAAACATTCATAATTAAAAAAACCCGCCAAAACCCTGCCTTAGACAAGATGGCGATTCACCATTCAATAGTCTCTACGACGTACAATGCTTGTTAACACAAGAAACGTCAAGTTTTATACGTGTTAATTGTCATTCTTAAATTACACAAATCATTTTACAATCAAAAACAGTCTGACGAAATGAAACCCCGAAAAGTATGATTAGTCTGTTAACGTTTTCTGTCACCTGAGTGATGTATAAAATAAATATTGAAATGTATTTGGTCCATAACGCTTTTTAAAACCAAATTTTATACAAATTACTCTCATAAGTAATTTTTCATACTGTCAAATAGCCTACTCATATCTAGGTATATATTTAAGTATACTTACGCCTCCGGCCTCTCTATACATATCATGGTGTTCCTCGGACATGGTATTGTGTTAAAATACTGAAGAAAAGTCCTAATACTATATTTGATTTGATGAAAGACATAAGATTGATAAATCAGTTAAAACACTAAAAGGTTTAATTAATAAAGAGCAATCTTCAACCTCTTTTATATATATATACTAGCGGACCTGACAGACGTTGTCCTGCATGACAGTTGGATTGGCTGATTTGTGAATCTAAACTACCCAGGGCGCCACCCAAGTCCCAAACGCATACAAAAATCATTCAAATCGGTCCAGCCGTTTAAAAGGAGTTCACACCCACACGTAGAATAAAATGATATACATATATATAAAGTATTAATTATATATTCGTTTTATAGAGAAATTCAAAGTTATCATTCCTTATCGGTAGAGTCATTATGTACAATAGGTACCATAAGACTATTGACCTCATTGTTTTTCCTTTATATTTGCAAATTATCGTAAGCTACATAGAAATATATAATATAATTCATAATGCATTGTGTAATGAGATATTTTTTATCATTTTCCCCATCATTTATGCAACATGTGTAATTTATTATAGATTATGCAATAGTTAATTGAGGTAAATATCTATATATAGGTGCGTTTTGTCACGTATACCATATTTCCGTAATCACTAAGTTACTCGTTCAATGTTTTTTAGATTTTTTGGTCAAAAATAACCCGACCCATTATTTTATAATTGACCTGAAAATTCCTATTTTTGTTTAAACAACTAACAAGACGCAATTTACGTAATTTAAATGCATTATTATATTGTGTTACACCTTATCTCAAATTGAAACCTTCACCTAGATCTATTATTATGTATCTGTGATTTAGACTAAACTTTGAAGTTCTAGTATCAAGAAACATCATAAAAACTAACTTTAACAACTTTTAGACATTATTTGAAACTAAACTAAACTTACTAAAAAAATACTGTTTTAAGCTCTATATACGTATAAATCACGACCTCTCTTGATCATAGTGTAAACAAAAGACCAAAACTAAGGAATTTTTACTTATACTAGTTGACCCGGCGAACTTTGTAGCGTCTGACAGTCAATGGATGTTGTTTTGCTGATTAGCTGAACTGAATTTAAGATTTATCAAAATAATACAAAAATAAATATTAAGTTCAATAGGTTATTGATTCGTTCTTCCAATTTTTATAGTTATTCTGCTATTCGGGACGGAGACAAGTAATCAAAAGCCATGAAAATCGGTCCTTTCACGAGTTATAAGTGATATTATGAACGATTTAGTTTATAAGATCATTGCTTAGATATTCTAAGTCTTCGAAATTCAGTTTCAATAATAAAGGTTGATAAACCAGGAAAATCATTGTTAAAAAACTTGACATTGAAACAGATATAAATTTGAGCGAGTGCAATGTTTTTTTTTAAATTCATGTTTTAACAATTATATCTGTTAAAGAAGTGTTACTTAAATGTTTAGTACGTAAGACAAACAATTAAACTATTTACTTTATGTTTACATTATTATTTATTTCAGGAATTTCATTTTACAATCTGCGCCGTCACCAAGCGCTCTATCCAATAATCTGTTCCACCGCTGCACAATCGTCCATGCGCTTGATATATGCAGCGTCATGGCGCGCTTCATTGCTCGTAGACTCGGCTAAGATTCTTGCAGCATCAATAAAACGGGAAACGATACCACCTGGATTACGATATATGGTCGGATCACAGTTCTGGTTGACCCTGCCTACGGGCGATGGTGAGTTTTTTTATTATGTAACAGGAGGCTTACCTTATGCTAAGTGAAACCGTCGCCCATGGACACTCATATTGCCAGAAATCTCGCAACTGCGTTGCCGATCTTTCAAGAATTGGTACCCTCTTTTTTTGAACCCTAAGTCGAATTGGTTCGGGAATACTTCTGTGAGCAGCTGTTTCCACATAGTGGTGGTGCGCGGCAAAAAGTGTCTTAAGAAACGCTCAGTTGTGGAACGACGGACGTCGAGGTGATACGGATGGTATTTTTTATTCAGCCTTGACGTCCGAAGATACGACATCGCTGTATATAAAAATATTTCACAGTAGAATACTATTAACAGTCTCATTGCTTTAACACGTGTTGAAAATGTAAATTATCAGATAATATAAAATGCACACACATTTGTGCATATATTATCTTAGTTAATTGCCAATCTAAATAGAGATTATATGCCACGGACGTAGAAGTATAAAGACTTGTACGCCGACGTCCTAACGAGCTCTGATTTTGTAAACAATTTAATCGCAATTAGGTCGTATCGTTTGCACGCATTTAATAATAATAATCTACGAGAATAATACCCATTAAAAAATCCTACTAATATTATAGACGGGAAAGTTTGTAAGTATGGATGTTTGTTACTCTTTCACGCCTACTACTGAATGGATTTTAATGAAACAATAATATAGTTTATACATCAGAATAACACATGGGCTACAATTTATAAAGATATGTGAATTGTCCAAAATATTAAGTAAATAGAAAAAATTTACCATCTGCGAGCGATTCTGGTGTGCGCTGCCAAAACCGCTAGAGTTACATTATACGTAATGTATAATGGAAATATTTATCTTAAAAAGTCAGTATCTTTATTAGTTTTATCTATGCCACGCTTATATAAGCTTCTCGAAATACTAATCCTTCGCAGACGAAGTCATGGGCACCAGCTAGACTATAAAGTAAAGTTACAACAGACGCAACAAATATACAAAATTTAATAAAATTTCTGAAGCGATAATAACTAAGTTTGTTCCTTTTGACACCAGACACAATATTCGATATCGGATAAAGTATACGGCAGACATTTTAATGGGCCCAAAGTTCTTGGACCTTGGGAGCCCCACGTAAGTGCGCGCACCTGCAAAAAAATATAATATTTTAAACTTGAACTTGAAAATTCAAAGATGTCATTACTTTATGAAACATATTTTGTTCAGGTATCCAGTTGAATCGGGATAATATAAGTTTTATCGTATATTAAACCAGACATTAAAAGAGGTTGTCATTAATTCATAGTTTCTGGTAATAATTTTACAAAAATATACCATTTACGATTTATAAAACTTGGTTAAATCGTAAATGGTATATTTTTATAATATATATTAGCCTTATACAGCTAGAGGCAGTTGAAAACTATTAAAATAATACAAAGTTAAGGCCCCGTCCGAACTCTGTCCGGCCCTCTTCGTACAAGTTAATAATGATAACAAATAAACTACAGTTATTTTGACCACTGAACTTGCTAGAGGTTATTTTAATTAATCAGTTTCTAAGTGTTTTATTTACATGATAACAAAGGTCTGTAGAGTACATATATGTTTATATATATAAATCTCTTTTACGTTTATTTATTCAGTTATACTAGTAAAAATAAATAATTTAAATTGGAAAAAACTTGATAGAATGCACACCGTACTGGTTTTATAAAATTAGGAATAGCAACTAATAGTCGTTTTGTTATAATAATTATATATCTTACAATTAAATAAAAAAAGAACATATCTATATATATTATATTGTACTTGGTTTAAGTCAAGTTGGCGGTAAAGTTCTTTGCACTTTCTAATTATTATGTGATTTTGGCCATTTATTTGTTTATTGCAATAAATACGATTTCTTAACAGGTTCTGATGTAAGTGACGATGAAGAGCAGTCAAGCCCCGTTGAGAAGGGACAAGTGAAGTGGGAGCCAAATGTGGTAAGTTTATTTAAAACAGTTTGTGGTGATAAACTAATTTTGGAAGAAATATTGTTGATTTTAATCTTAAAAATAAATCAGTGGCGCTACAACCTGTTTAGGTCTGGGCCTCAGATTTCTGAGTCTGTTTCATGATAATTTTTCAATCTAATGGGAAAGTAGGTGATCAGCCTTCTGTGCCTGACACACGCCGTCGACTTTTTGGGTCTTAGACATGTCGGTTTCCTCACGAGGTTTTCCTTCACCGTTCGCGCGAATGTTAAATGCGCACATATAAAGAAAGTCCGTTGGTGCACAGCCGGGGATCGAACCTACGACCACAGGGATGAGAGACACACGCTGAAGCCACTATTGCCAAGACTGCTCATTAAATTTTAATTTGTTTATTTCTGAATTTATATATTTAATTCTTATTCTTGCTGCTTCAAAAACAATATTAAATCATTGAAAATTTCAGTCTCGTTTCTGAATTTTCACCTATACACGTCAATCAGGGCGTTCACTTTTAATGCAAAAAAGACTTTATCACCGTTTCTTACAAACACACATTTGAATAATGATAACAGTGCAAAAAGGAACTTAATACCCATTTAGTGTTAATGAACTGAGTTAATCCTAATATTTTAAAACTCTTCTTATTAAAAATAAAATCTTATTGCACCACGTTTTATATAGAAGTACTTCTCATTTTATATGATACCAGCGACAGTCTATTGAAGACATTTTGCTAAATTGCTTTTAAGAGAGCCTTTAAATTTTCATATACAGCTATAGTTAAAATAACGTATGCTTAGGCATGTATGTCGTCGAATGAACTGTTCTCATTACCCGCGTAAATAACCAAGCCATCTCACTATCAGATTTGCCCGTATCTAAGCCGTAAATTAAAACCTAAGAAAATATGAGTAGGTATCGAGAATTTTCGTAATGACATCGTGTGCTTAACGATTTGCGGATTCTGTATTTTTTTCGGGAAGGGAATTGTAGTGCGGCTTAAGAAAAATAATAAATATTAATTGTTTTAGCTCGCTTCATCCATTTTCATGACATTCACCATGCATGCTCGTCGATTATGGGTACTTTTAACTTATCACTTCTCTAGTACCTGGATTTGGTTCAGGTATGTACGACAAGGCATATGAACCTGACTTCATCATCCACGGTTGCTGAATATATCCTACGTGTAAACCGCTTCCCATCTATTCTACATGGGCAAACCACCTAAGCATTCCCTTTCGCATCCTGGTCACTACGTCATCTTTTAACCCACACTGCTCTCGTATCTCACTATTACTTATCTGTAACTGGATTATATTATCAGTCCCACAGTTCACCGAATTTCACATAATCACAGTTCACATAACACATCAATAAAGATTTTTTTAAAGAACATATCGATTTGTTTCTCAGACCCTGTCATCCGACATGAAAAGGCATCATTGGCAGACAGAACCACTCAAAGCTATTGCACTACGAACCAGCGATTGACGATATATTATTAAGATTTGCTTTAAACAAACACAAGCAAAACCGTTTATATACAGACATTGTATTAGTTTTATACGTGAATGTGACCTATTTACTTATCGATATCTTATATTTGACGATAACACTTTTTAAAATACATAAAAAAGTTTAGATGACTTTCTGTTCGACATGTCTGTAAATTGGACGTAATTATTTAGATCATTGTAAATGTAATATAATAAAATATATATTTTAATAAAAAGACAAAACCTTGGGAGGTTTTAGTAATGTAAGAAAGTCTAATGGCCGAATACACAAGCCCCAAGGGACACCCAAATGTAACAAGTTAAAAGACTTAAAAGACGCTGCTAAGTTATTTAGTAATACAGATTTCTTATTAACTCAATTTGTGATTTCACGTAACGACAAAACTCAGTTTTCATGTAACATTTTCAATATCGACAATAAGCTTGGAATTACTTGGTACGAAAACTATATACCTATTGTATAATCGCTGTTGTTACAGCTTACTGGATAAAACCACTGTTTTATGAGGTAGTTCAGATGACGCCTAATTTCGACTGAATTTTGTGTGTTCGGACATATTACGTAACTTAGTTTTAAGGAATAAAGTCTGTGATATAAGGATCGTTTTATTTCGTGAACGCCCTGACAGAAAGTTAGAATATATGATGATTACTTTCTCCAATTACGGAGATTCAGAATAGTAGTAGAATTAGTTTAAGGTTCTATTAAAAGTAGAAACTAAATTAAAATATACACTTTACACTGTCATTAAGCGTAACGTATTCTTCAATAGGATAATTTAGAACAAATTTGATCACTTTAGTTAGTCTGTTTTACCTGAATGAATCTCACCCTATGGGTACAAAATTTACACTTCTATATAAAACGACATAGAGATGTGATTTTAAAATTTTTCACAACTGTCATATATATTTTGCCGGGATTAAATAGAAATAACAGACTATACACTTTAATTAACTAATTGCTATGTAGGCATTTACTTATAACTAATTGTTCTTAATTGGAATAATAAATTTATAGGTAAATAAAACATTTAGTCTCATTAATTATTACGCTACTTTCAGTTGGACGACATTTTGCCGAGTCCTTATGTGAACGGTTTTTACGTAGACAATGTGGAGAGGAATTACCGCGTCGTCGTTTGGGAATGAAGACATCGAATGTGGTGCCAATATTTTCATCAACAAATCATCAGGGTCATCGTTAACTGTTTTATTAAGATTAATTGATCATGCTAACTTATTTATTTCTCTTTTATGCAATCATAAAAATAATTTGTTTTTCTAAGTTGAAGCCCTAGTTACGCCCCATAAGTAGTGACTCGCCTCAAAGGTTATTGACAACAAGAAAAATTGTGTATGTTCTATATTTATAAGCTCAAATACTATCGCAATCGCAAACATTTTACGATACTAAGTGCGACTAGTAAAAAAAGAAAAATATTTTAATATCATTTAGACACAGATATTGTCCTTAGAAATCCAAGGATTAAATTATAAAATTTGACCATAAATTATTTATAGATAAATATACGAATATCGTAAAAAAAGTTTTTTTATTTTACTTTAATGTACAATTAAATTTAAGATACGTACTTAATTAGCACCAAACACTTTAAAAAAAACTCTCCCGAATTGAATTCGATAATTAAGTTTTTTTTAATATTGTTTTAACTTTATGCCAGTTTCAAGTAAAAGGTTGGAAAACTACACGCGAGAATAAACAAAGACATCAAAAGGAAATAAAGGGATAAGCTGGTTAAAAACAAAATATGTACACAAACATATTACATCTTAATATTATTATTGATTATGAAAGAAGATAATACATTATAGTAAATTAAGTTTTATTTATAAGTGTCCCGACACCAAAGACAACCAATATACAATTATACCAAAGAGTATGCATAATATGCAAGCACGTAATGTGGCATGGTAGAGAGTGCTTTGAGAGAAACGGAAACTTGACTGATCATTTATTTAACGAAAATGGTTCATTAAAATTTAAACAATGTATTAAGTTATTTTCCAGTATGAAATATAAAGTTTTATTGAAATAAATCCATATAAAATCTGGCTTTTATAAGCGGACTTAAAGTATCTGTAAATAATCAAAAAATTATAAAAAAAAATTGACATTTGTTTTCGAGTTAACTGCATGGTAGGCCGTAGGGATTGCAAGGCCATCTTGCCTAGAGAAGCGGTTTGGCGGAAACAAGATACATAGTTTGAACGTTTAAAACTAATACTAAACAAAATGAATAATGTAGATTTGTGTAGTTTCTATATTACTAATAAATAGTCCAAAAGGATTTTTAAAATAGGCCTTTGCCAATGTCGGCGGCAGTTACTTTGTAGCTTTATTATAGACTATTTTAATGACACGCAGTGCCTTTTTTGTGGGGAAATGTGTCTCGCGGCGCAACTCACTACTGCGCATACCAAAACCTTACGGTGCACCAGCAATCACCCGAGACAGGACACGGTAATAAGCATACTTACATCGGCCTGTTCGCCCTGGTTTGTAGAGCTGGGAGAAGACAGGTGCAATGCTTGCAAGTTTGTGACAGAAGGACGCATTTGGGACGCATGAACACCTGTTCCCCCGATGAAGCGTCTGCGTGCCCAAGTTGTGGTCTAAACGCGTTGATGGTGTTAACGCTCCGCCTCGTGTTTTAGTGCTTGGTTTTCCTCGCTTGTTTTCCACGCCTGGCGAGGGCGTTAGTGAGACCAAGCCTTTTTATTTCAGGCACTACTCGGGCTGCTGCGTCAGTTGCGCGTAGGCGCCCTTGTTTGTAATCCTGCCCGCAGCCACGAGTGTGTCGTCGACGCAACAGATAGTTGTCACTCCCGCGAGTATCTCCATCAAGAGTATCTTTTGAACAACTGCTTAATGTGCAACAGCGCACTTGATAAGTCGCTCCCTGATACCATTTTTATATTTCCTGGATACTTTGCCAGGACACCTTACATGCAGCCCGGAGCTGAGCGATAGCATCTATTATTTATCGGCTCTTTCTAAACCCGAATTCACCATCGTGTATACTAGGATCTACAGTCCCTAGATGCTTGGAAATACGACCGGCAATGACTCGAAAAGCTTGCCGACTTCAACTAGCTTTCCAACCTTTTTCAACAGCACCAGACATTCTTCCGTCTCCCATGCCGATGGGAAGTCGCCTATTCCCGAACATTCTGTAAGCAGACTTTAAAAATCGCACACTAAGACCAGCGCCGAAGGTACGGGCCAGAATTCGCCCGTGAAAACATGCAGTGCGTGCAGCCAGCCTGCACTTGCAATTAGTGTTAAGTGCCTTTTAATCCGATATTATAAGTATTCGTTATTTCATCAGAAATTGTACCCAAGACTTAAGAAATAGAGCTAGTTGTAGTTGATTGTAGACATGCTCAGGAATAAATTAAAGCCTATGTAGTTTGTATTTGATTGCAGACATGCCTTTTACGAATAAAAAATGCGACTTTTAATCAAGTCGAATGCTGCAAATGACAGTTAGTTGAAGTTTCCTCTGCTGTCAAAATACTCTAATGTCAGCGTCAATTTGCAGCAAACGAAATCTGAACTCCAATTTAGAAAGATATTGTTGTTTTGTTAAAAAGTTGTAGTGGTACATTATTTACAGTTATATTAAGGAGATTCAAATTGTCTAAAGCAACTTCCTGCTATTTGTAAAAGCTGTATAATAAAACATGGCAACTGTGGTAAGTCTCATTATGTATTAACTCCATTTACTAAGTACATGAGTAAAATATTATACAACGCCTTTATTAATCATCAAATACTAATTAGCCCTGAGGCTTTATTTTTCTAACGCCGAAGTGCGGATGATGTCACTTATATTCGTAGTTAAAGCCTAAAGGGCGCGGTTTAGCCTTGACCGCTTCCAAAGGGAAGTTTCTGATTCGTCACTGAAAATTAGACAGTTTATGTTGTTGTCATCATTGCATTCTTAATCTTAAGTAATGGTCAAGGTATCCAATTGGTGTGTCCCAATTGACCTCGTATGTACCAAATAATGTAGGTAATTACTCACATATCTTGGTAAAACTTTGATTACACGTCTTATGGTCATAAAGTCATTAAAGTATAATTTATTTAAAAACGTATAAAATGATTATAATAATAATAAGTAGTAATGCTATTAATTTTAAGCTTAATTGCACTCCTCACTTTTATTACTCATAATTATAACTAACACAATTATTGTATTATGTTTTTTTTAAACTTTGAATAGCATGAACCAACTGTTGTGGGAGTTGCTCACTTCAATGCAGCTGAAGATGCAGCAGCTTTACGAGGAGCCATGAAAGGATTTGGTACAGATGAGGATGCAATCATAGAAATTCTTACATCCAGATCAAATGCTCAGAGGCAGGCCATCTCACAAGCATTTACTCATGAGTATGGGAGGGTAAGGCATTATTACACTGTATTATTCTTATCTTGATGTTACAACAGAGAAGTTTCGAAATACATAAATGTTTAATATGCTATACTTAAACAATGCTTAAAAAACTTATTTAACATATACAGGACATCATTGAAGACCTCAAGTCAGAACTTGGAGGTCATTTCGAAGATGTTATAGTTGCTTTGATGCTGCCACCAGCTGAATACCTTTGCAAAGAGTTGCACCATTGCATGGAAGGCATGGGAACTGATGAAAAAGTGTTGGTAGAAATACTATGTACTCGAACTAAGAAAGAGATTGCTGAGATTGTTGAAGCATATGAGAGATGTAAGTAATCATTTATTTACTATAAACATAGCTGAAACAAATATAAAATATTTTTGTTTCACTTAATCACTGAACTAATATTACACCTTAGAAAGGTTCATAGGCTAACTTTTGTTTGAATTAGCACAACTGGTGCATGTTTGTTATATTGAGTATGGTGGGATTATTAAATGTTTAGTTAAGCCTAAGCTACACACGGGGTTTGGGATGGCAATATTATGGCGATAAAATGCCTTGTTTAATAGACAATATATGTTTTTGGTCCCTCCCTTATTAATATAATATATTATTTCTAGTATACAATCGGCCATTAGCAGAACATATGTGTTCAGAAACATCTGGAGATTTTCGAAGACTTCTAACTCTGATTGTTACTGTAAGTTAAAATTTACATTCTGGCTCCACAATATTTTTTATACTTATATGATATTATTGTTTTAATATTTTTTAATAAAAGAATTTTTAAGTTTATCTATCCAATTCTTTTCTTAAATATATTATGGAAAAATACTTAGTGTTTTATACATTACGTAATTTGCTTGTTTTTATAGATGTTATTAGTTCATACATCAATTAACTGTGACTAACCATAATTAAAACAAATAATAAAAAGCTTAAGCCACAGTTTTCTATTAATTGTGTTAACCTTGATAATACAATGCTTGCATCTGAATAAACATTAATTCTTGTTTTATGTATGGATTATGTGTATTTATTCAATTTAAAATACATAATAAGTTCCCTATCTTTCTGTTTTCTGAGCTTTTGCTTTACCTACGTTCCCTCGGACTAGTATTATTGAATTTAAAAATATGTATCTAAATGAAATCATTAATTGATAATAATATATTTTTGAAGTTGTACTTCTTTAGGCGCGTTATGAAAAATTATGAGAGTGAAATTTTAGATTGCGCGCGCACCTATGACACAAAATTGGCAGTGTGATATAGCGTGCGCGAGCGAGATGGGAATAAGACAAACTACAAGTAAAAGAAATAGAATATGCGTGAAGCTAACTTCACGCATATTCTAGTTAGCAGCTTAACAAGAATTTTGAATGACCATGACAATTGACATCTGACAATGACATTTACCTTTTAAACAAATATAGGAGTTTTAATTATTTTTAAAATTAATAATTATATACCTATTATTTTCATTATACAAAATATTTGTGAAATAATATAAAATATTTGTGAAAAAAACTGTGCTAACCTTCCTGAGTGCTTCAATACAATTGAGGTTAACTATCCGTACCTATGTATTATCGAGTATTATTGTTGATTAAAACTGAAACATGAACCATTATTCATTCTTTTGTTTATTGTTTGTTACAGCAACTTTTTAGAAATATTCTACGACCCTATATATCAATAATTGAGAACAAAGATTTAAGCACGAATACTAATAAGGAGAAATGAAGGCTTGGAGCGATATAAAGAGAAGTAAACATTTTAATAAGTACCTGCATCTCAAAAAAATGACCAATTATTTAATCAAAACATAATTTAATTAGCAAATATAAGGACAAGAGACAAAAAACAATTGATAATAGAATACTAAATTAATACAAAAAGAGTTGTCATCTTATGGTGAAACATCAAAACTGGAGGTGGAACAAGCCACCATCACCTTTCGAGACACAATGTTTGAAGTAGATTTCAATGAATTTATTGTATTTGAGGTAGGAATGTTAATTATAAATATATGTATGTATTTCAAGGTTCAACCTTTCAAATAGGCATATGCTTAAATTACTTTTTCTAATAGTTAGAATATTGTAATACCTAAAACATCCATGTTGCATTGTAGTACGAAACTCTTCCTGCCAGAAGTGGCCCATTCCCACTTATAATGGACAGTGGTATAATACACTTAATACCTAGTCGAACCACTCACCATATACTTAAATTAATAATTTATTTAATATTCATTATTACAAATAAAATCATTTTGAAACAATTGATATCCCAAAAGCAAATAAAGCCAACAATGACAAGTAATAAATCATTTTAATAACTTGAATACTAAAAAGCCAAACAAAGGTGTACAACAGTGACAACATAACTTAACAATTTCATTATTTTAGGATTAAAGAAAGGTTAAAGAAAATCATGTGAACTGAACAACAAGAATCCCCAAACAACTCCAAAGAAACCTACAAGGAAGACACCGGTATTATATTTAAATTATCTCTATCTCTAAATGGAATAAAAGAAAGTTCTATCAGGTCTGTAGCATGTGCTACAAATTATATTATTAACATATTTATATAATTATATTAATATAAATTTTAAAAAAATTATAATATAATTATAAAAAATTTTAAGTTTTGATGGACAGAGCTTAAATTAATATTCTTTATTTTTGCAGAAAGCAAGTAGTTTTGGAAACCTCTAATGCATAACCAAGTAATATTAATTTAAAATTACAAACCGAAATTTGATGAAGACATTAGAGTCACTTAAAAATAAATATATAATGAAATAAAAATTTTTAAAGATAAATAGTTTTTATTTTTAATGTAAGAGAATAATAATAAATATTTATTTAATTAATTTTTCAAATGTAAACTGAACTTTATTGACTTTAATGACTCCTTTTCCAGTCTTTGATTATTTAATTGTAATTAATTATTTGCATGCAATCAAAAACTATTTTTAATAATGCCAAAGAAGTATATTCTTATATAGTAAGATTTGTTTTTATTTGTTATGTTTATTAAAATAACATACATTATTAGAGTCAATGTCATTTGATAGTGTATGTTTAAAAGTAAATATAATCAAATACAACAAGCCTGTACCAGATTTCTAAATTGCGGAATTAATTCTTACCTATTAAAATTATTTGGGCTCATTCCTAAAGAACTGACAGATGCTTGTTTTAAATGCAAGTTTATGAAAACTCTTGAATATAATAGATATAATAAATTTGATGATGCTACTCCGAGGCAAAGGACCAGACAACGTATTGATTTAGGCTAAACAACAGGGCGCTCGTGATGAAGAAGCCGGAGTCGATCAGGCTAGAGCAGCCGAGGCAGCTCAGCAGCTTTACGATGCGGGAGAGGCCAAGTGGGGAACTGATGAGGAGATATTCAACAAGGTTAGGATTCGTTTAGTGTAATTGTTGTATCTCGTTACAAAAAAATGTATTTCTTATACACCCTTCATCGCGTTCTATCGTAAAAATATTTCTTTTGACGTTCATAAGTGTACATTTGCTTTTGGTGTTTGTACATCTGATACGAATGATACGCTCATTTAATAATAAAACCGATATATTTCATTCATTCTTATTTTAATTTTATTGTTTAAAAATGAGATATTTTTAATATTACAATTGCAAAAGTAATAAAAGATTCTTAATCCTACACGTGGCCCGAAAATATTAAAAATTACTAAAAAATTACTTCGCATATTTAATATGGAAGGAGTTGTCTTACTTCAATAGATGGCGTAGTAATTATTATTTATTTTTTTATTTTGATGCGGCTAACAATTTAGATTTTTTACTTAAAATAAAAATTTGCATTGTGATTGAGATTTCACTGTTACAGATTCTAGCTCACGAGAGTTTTGGCCAATTGCGCGCTATTTTTGAGGAGTACAAGAACATCTCGGGTCGTACGATTGAGCAGGCGATCAAGGCCGAGATCGCTGGAGAATTATCTGAGGCACTCAGTGCAATCGGTTTGTCTTTTATTATACACTCGGTTTTACAATTTGAACGTTCATAGCTTACTAGGAGGCTTAAGTTGAAGGTAGCGGCATCAGCGGATATTGAAAGACCTACCTCATCATCATCAATGCTCGACAGCCCCTTGTGGGGGCCTTAGCCTCCTCAAGTATATTTCGTGCTTCTTGCGTCCAACTTCGAACCATATTGTTTCGAGGTCCTTGACTCTAATAGTATTGCTTTGTACATAACTGTATGTATTTAAAAATGGTCTGATATTAAATGTATTAGTGTTTAAAAACAAGTCAGAATTGTCTATAGTATGTTAGATGGTCACTGAATTTCAGTGGAATGCGTGGAAAACCACGCGGCTTGGTTCGCTCAGCGGCTTCGGGATGCCATGCAAGGTCTCGGCACCGACGATAGGACCCTCATCAGGATCATCGTCTCCCGGTCCGAGCGAGACCTCGCCGCTATCAAGCGGGAGTACGAGGTCTTATATAACAAGACTCTCGGCAGCGAAGTCAGGGTATGTCTTGTGAGAGTGTAGCATTTGAAGCATCGCATGAACCAATGTAAGTTTTTTGGTGTGGCAAGGTTCTCTTCAGAATTTCCGAGGGTCTTTTCACATAACAATTTAATCATCATTGTAAATTGCAACAGGAGAATAGTCAGATCATAATTTTGCATAAAAGATTTTAGTTCAAAACTTAATATTTTTGATATTTAAATGTTTTATCATTGGTACATTATACTTTACCATACTCAATACTCATAGTCTATTTATTTATTTATTTTATAATGATTCACCACATCATATATAATGCTATATCTACATTATATGTTACAAGCTATATTTTCTTAAATATATGACAATTATGGTAAACAAAAATGTTACAAAAAATAAAAATACTACATTTTTATAATTTTAGATTTTAATAGTAAATTTTTGCATAACAATAAGCGAAAATAACGTAAATTATTATTATTATTACACTTAACAATGTTTTTTTAAGCTATTGCATAGATTTTATCGCGGGCTTTGAGCGCGGCGACCGAATCAAGAAATTCCGTAACGAATATAAAAACCTAACTCACGATGACGTAATATACGCGTTAGAGCGGGACAGAACGCATACTGCATCTCAAATCGGTTTACCGTGATCGGATAGGTGTGTTAGTCTGAGTCTGGTAGAATGGTAGATTGAATTAATATCAAAAAAAAACTTGAATTAATACCAAAGAAAAATAATAATACTGTAAAAAATAAATAAATATTTATATTGCATAAGTTTATAAAAAATGCTATGCAATAGCTTTACCGCGGCAGTCCCCGAGTGCCACACGTTTTTTATTTTTAAATTGATCAGCCCACTACCGAATGTATCAAGCTCTGGATAAGTAGTGTTTTTTTTGATTCTCTTCTGCGATTATTAAAATTTGCATGAAATTGGAATCTCCTAAATCAGTTTTGAGATTCAAAAGATCCTCCGATTTCTGAAGAATCTCAAGGTGTGCGTTCTCTTAAAATGTCATCTTTTTTAAACCATCTCTTAAATCATTTGAGATTTTCTCGCTTTGTGCACATTTTAAGAGCGCATGGTGATTCACAAGACATACCCTGATAAGAAAATTTAATTTTAAGAACTTTTTTTTAATTTAGGAGTCGGCTCCCTTCAGGGTATGTCTTGTTTCAGTGGAATGTGTGGAAAACGCGGCGGCTTGGTTCGCAAAGAGACTGCGCAGTTCGATGCAAGGGGGCGGGACCGAAGATAAAGCCTTGATAAGGATTATTGTGAACCGATCCGAGATCGATCTCGCCGCTGTCAAGAGGGAGTATGAAAGTCTGTATGACAAGACTCTGCAGAGTGACGTTGCGGTTAGTTTCCTGCATGTCTTGCTATGTGGAATGGAGTTTTTCTCACAAATTGATTTCGACATTTTTTGAAACTAGTTTTCAAAGTCGGCCTAAGGGTTGTGTCAGGAAAGCACTATAGTTATGCTGAAAGTGTGGTTTGAGTTTTAAATACACACAAGAATCAATGATTCATTCGATACTTGCTTGTAAGATGGAGATTTGGTGAATAAATTTACATAAAGCATGAAATGTACCTATAATCATTATTTAACTCTTGATACTGAGTTTGTGCTTTCCTTTCATAGTTGTGAACTTATGAACTTTCAAAAAAGCTGATCGCCAATCGCTATTCGCATTTTTTGAAAGACACTCGACTAAAATTTTTTTTTCTGGCCGTATTAGAATTCCTTATTAAGGAATAAAGACAACATATAATAATTATTGTTGTATAATTTTATCAAATAATCAAAATTGTGTTATAAAAAACCCCTTTCCCAAAACTATACAGTTATTGATTGCACATAAGGCTGATTACTTTAAAGATCTTCTCGCTTTCCTGCATCTAAACACTATCTATTAAAGCACATTATGAGATTCAATATTTGCATTTTTTCACGGGCTTTAGATGTATTTTAATTATAGTATGTTTTAATAAATATTTTCTTCTTGGATTGCATCATATTGGAAAAGGAGGTAATTTTATTTGTATTATTACTAAATGTAAATAAATAAAGTACGTGCGTTACAAAGTACACATGTCAGAAGTGAACCTTCTTTTGCAAACTAATTTTTAAGTCTTTTTCATATTTATACAAATCTAAAACTTTAGATTTCCGAGACTTAGAGGGAGGGAAAAACTAAGATATGTTATGAATTTAATAGTCATTTAAATATTAATTAGTGTCAAAAATTAATAAAAATTATAAATATAATTTTGTAAATTTATTTCTCCGATAATAAAAACACGTGGCATTTTAATTTACAATTCGTCATTTGGGATTTCAATAAATTATTTTGCATAAAATATAAAATACTAATATTTCATAAATTCTCTTTTCGAAACATTAATTTTAAAAATAGAATTTCTATAAGGTAATTCGCCCTTCCCACTCTCTTTCAATCGCTCTCCCTTTTTCTTCGACAAAAACGCTGCACATCTTCGTGACGTTCCGTAAAAATTTTACCCTCATGCGCCTAAAGAAGTTTCACATTAAAAGCTTTTATTTTAGTTATAAAACGATCCGATTAAAAAGCCGGCAACTTCCTCGCGGACCATTTGCCCGGTTGTATAAAATAAATTCATTAATTACTAACGCAGTCGCATTTCTTTGCATGTCCACCTGTTTATCGACACAACGCCGCTTATGCACTCGATTGAAATTAACGCCATCTGTTGGACGAAAATCGAAAACTGTTTTGTTTTTGCGACGCGGCAGCAGGGAGAGACTTCGGGCGACTACAGGAAGGCTCTCATCGCTCTACTTGGACCCGCCTAAGATAAATTTAAGAAACGCAATTCGACATAGTGTAGGGAATTGTATTGCACTAAGCGTATTTTTTGGCTGCTATTCACTTTTGAGTTTAAAAACTCGAATATTTTTTTATAGAGATTGTTATATATAAGTTTTTTTTATAATTATAATTAATTTTTTCCTACTTAGGGTAGAGAAACAAAACATATTCCTAATTGTATGGCCTTAATGATGCAAAAATGCTTTGAATGTTGAATAAGTCCAGAGATATAATATTATGTAAATTATTGTATTGTATTGTTAAAAGACATTTATACGAAATCATTCCACCGTTTCAATTGATTGTACTCAGTATTTAGATAGCTTCTTTTCTTATTATTTATTAAATAATATTTTAAACCACTGTTTTTTATTTGATACTACTTCTTATTAATTAAATACAAAAAAACGTATATATTATATAATATATACGTGATATAGAAATTCTTCATGAAACGACGCAATAGGTTTTCTCTGAGAGAGTTGTTTATTTATACATGACAAACACGACGTCCTGAATAGACGGACTTCTACAGAAAAGAAACATTCTGCCGATCTATAAGCAGAACAATATGATTCTGGAATAGAACAGCTCCATCATAGCGACACCAACTATTTAGAATCTATCGATTATATGTCAATTCCGAAGGCGAAAGCCGTATTAACAATAACTAATTAACTTATGACCCTCTAGATACCCCAGAAGCTGGCTGTTGATAATGGTTTCCATTAATTTGGAGAACAAGGAGGTTACGGCTATTGGACGGGTCAGAGATCACTTTTTCAGGCATTGGATGTATTGAAGCGATCTTCTATCAGTTTGGGAAAGTACCGAGCGAGTAAAGGTACCGGAGAAGGCTTGTTAGGACCGGAGCAAACTTAGAAGCACAATTGGGGTTTACTATCTGGGCCGCTCGACTTATGAATGTCAAAAGGGAAAACACTTTACGGATAGAACGTTGCCCGAAATCATTTCCCGGCATTGAAGTTATCACCTTCACGGAATGGTTGGTGACCCTCACTTGGTCATCCAATGTCGAGTAGAACGCGACGAGACCGCCTAAACATCTTCAATCTATAAAATTTTGGCCTGGAAACTGAGTTGAGTTTTCTCTTATAAGGATAAAAATGAAAAGACAATTTTTATTTGTGAATCTTATTTATTCACTATATATTATAACAGCCATTCAAACGTACACACGGACACGTCAATCTTACTATGTGAGCAGCAAATATAACATCTATATATAAATATATGTATACATAAATTCACACATTTTATATTTCAATGATAGAAGCCGAGCCGCCAATACGTTTTAATCAATCAATTTTCTTTCTGTTAGCCATATTTTGTTTATTTTCTCACGATGTTTATTAATATTTAATTTTACGTACAAATAAGCAGTGCCAACTTGCAGAAAGTAAGAAATTAGATAATCTAAACCAACACTTACATTTCAGATAAAACAAAACGTCAAGTCTATATAGATGTACTAATAAACATTTTTGTGAACAAAAAATGAATTAAAGATCAACAGATAACTCAAAATCAATTTAAAAAAGAATGCTCAGTGTTGCCCTCTTACGTTAGCGTCAACAAATGTCTTGCAAACGTCTATCGCTCAACTAACACTGAAAATAAATCAAGATTTCGGCCAATGTACTTCATCAAAAAAACGTGACATAACATGTGCGGCTTTTTTAAATATGGACTGGTGTCATAAATGTTAAATGGATGAGGTCTATCATAAAATTACGGTTAAATGTATCCAAGAAATAGATGCTAATTCTGACGTACACAGACTAAATATAGCTGTCAAACGTCTGTATAAAGGAATGTCACGGATAAATTTCGTGTAACATGAATTCTTTTGAGCAGAATAAGAAACTTAAAGGAAAGCGAAAAATATTAATTAAATTGATAAAAAAATCTGAAAATCCTGCTGATAAAAACATCGCTGTGACAGTATACATTTGCAATACCATATACAAAAATAAATATTTTTGCCTTTATACAATTTTGAATAGCACTTTAAGTACTTAAAAAAAGCCTCATTCATTGCACATTTATATTGCTAGAAAGCGTTTACAACTAATTTATACATTTTTTAATTAAGAACTCAGAGGAACTAACTCGAATCATACAAATTATATACAAAAACGCAGAAGATTCGTACACATTTCAACTTATAGGGGTAATTTGCAGTTTAACGATTAAGGTGACTGCATTTTATGTCTTAGTAAGGATTTGATGAAAACTCGCCATTCTCAATATTTGGATATGTTCTTTGTAAAGATTACAATGTTTTTAAACTGAATTTAACTATGTCGAATTAAGAAAAACACTTTTTTAACGGATTTGAAGTTATGTTTTATTATAAATATACAATTATATTACATAATTTTAAATTTAACAAATCCGTTAAAAAAGTGTTTTTCTATGTCTAGAAGTTATGTCAATAAAAGACAATACTATGTCGACTTAAGTTAATAACAATAGGCACAGGGCAGGGAGCGCTGGAAGTTGCTCATTCCGGAGGCCAAGAGCCAGCGGAGTGAGAGAATGCAAAATAAGCACCAAGGATAGAAAAATTGGAGATAATTGTTGGAAGAAATTGTGATACCGTTGAGTTAACACACAAACCCTGCGTGTTCAATTACGGAAAAAGAACCGATTCACAATATCAATATAAAAGCAAAACTCAAATAGAAAGTAAAAGAGAAATCAACGAAATATTTTCTATAAAAGAAATTAACTAACTTATTAATTAATAAACTAGAAGTTTCTTCTACTCGAAGCCTCTGAAAATGGCAGTAAAATCACCAATACTTACATTCTACTAATTTTGATACCAAGCATTAATATGTAATATACATTCACTTTCTCATTCGACAATACCTATACTTGCTCCAGCTTTGCATTTGCGACATTTGCAAATCACATTCAAATATGTGGAGTACTTTAATATATCGCGTTCAAACAGAAATATACTTCGTCCTATAAAAAGACATAGTTAAAATGATTTTTAATTATAATTATTTGTTACTAGTTAAAACAAGAATAATTGCCAATAAATAGCGCACATTTTCAGTTCAAAAATGAAGTTTTCCTAAACGCGAATAAACACAATCCCGCTTAGGACGCTTCGTAATCGTCTCAAACGGGAATTTCAAAAGTTCTCAAGGCGGGAAGACAACCCTTTAAGTTGGAAGATGGAAGCAAAGCCGTGCAAATTGTAGCAATTGTGTTGTTCAGCGTGTGCTGAAGAACTTCTCTTGCAGCTCTTCGAGAGGAATCACTTTCTCATCACCTATCGCGGGCTGCTGTTCGGCTTTGGATTGTTCGCGGAGATCTGGAAATATATATAAAGAATATTGTTTGCGCTAAATCGGTGTCAGTCAAAGAAGGATGACAATTATCAATTTTGACTTTGACACGCGAACCGGAATTTTTTCCGGCGTAGTGTCACAACGGTACGTAATTAACCGCTGTCACATGCGCACTGACATTAGACCGGATACTGCAAGGCATTTTCTTTTCACGTGTCATCTTTATCATAATTTCAAGAACCCAAAATGCTTGTCTAGAGAAGACGCCGTCATACTTATGAAACAAAAGTCAGCTCGCAAACGATCTGTTATTTACCAGCATGCTACGTCATCGTCGAATCGACGAACCCTGTGATCGTTTGTGTCACGTGAGTGACGTATAAAATGTTTTGTTTTTAAACTTTTACTAATAGGAATAATAGGAGCAGTGTCGGCCTAGTGACTTCAGCGTGCGACTCTCATCCCTGAGGTCGTAGGTTTCATTCCCGGCTGTGCACCAATGGACTTTCTTTCTATACGCATTTAACTTTCGCTCGAACGGTGAAGAAATCCGAAATGCCTTACACCCAAAAAGTCGACGGCGTGTGTCAGTCCCTGGAGGCTGATCACCTTCTTACCTATTTAGATTAAAAAATAATAATGAAACAGATTCAGAAATCTGAGGCCCAGGTCTAAAGAAGTTCTAGCGCCACTGATTTATTTTAATAGGCATAATAATAATCTAAATACCATGCCAGTGCTGCAGGAGCCCGTTGTAGTGATGTGCGCGGTCGTGCCTCTTCAGCTGCGTGAACACGTGCACGAGGCCGCGGTAGTCGTACTCCAGCCCCGAGTAGCGCTCGCCGAACAGCTTCAGGCCTGAGGAGGATTGTCTTTAGTACTAGTTAAAGCTTAGACAACTTCGGTACCTAGTTTTGTTTGTACCACTGTACCACTCAACATCTAAAAACTATGACGCCAGGAAATGCGCACTCAGCGTGCCTTATATATAATTAAGACTCATATTGTCAATATTTAAACTCTTTTTGCTAGAAAATCATAGAAAGCCTTAATTCTCCTCTATTAAGGCTTTCTATGATTGTGTTTGACTATGTTTTTGGGTTGGGGATTGAATACATTCGACATTTACTAACAAATGAGTACTCACTTATATTAATCGAGCGCAGATACAACTTCTCAGCAGCCGTGTGTTGGTTCATGTGGTAATTGTAGAGTGAAGCGAGGTGTCCCACACTCAGGCCCACTTCATAATCTTCTGCTCCAAGTAATTCTTCTTTTATTGCTATCGCTTTGAGGTGCATTGTCTCTGCATCCTGAAATGTATGTTTTTTAAAATTTTATTTATTCAGGTTGCCAACAGCTTATAAAATAAAATGCGTGCGTACAAAGTACACATGGCAGAAGTGAAACTTCTTTGGCAAACTAATTTTTAAGTCTTGTTCATATTTATACAAATCTAAAACTTTAGATTTCCGAAACTTAGAGGGAGGGAATAAGGAAGATAATATGTTAGGAATTTAATGAATTTATTTCTACGATAGTAAAAACACATGGCATTTTAATGTAGAATTCGTCATTTGAGATTTCAATAAAGTATTTTGCATAAAATATAAAATACTAATATTTCATAAATTCTTTTTACGAAATATTAATTAAAAATAGAATTTCTATAAAGTAATTCACCCTTTACACTCTCTCTCTTTTCTTCGACAAAAACGCTGCACATCTTCGTGACGCTAATATTATTATTATTGCATTTCATTCGTAAAAACTTTACCCTCATGCGCCTAAAGAAGTTTCACTTTAAAAATTACAATAATAAATATAGTATGCGTTCAAGTATTACGTATACTATGCAATCATTGGAATTTTTTACCTCCACTGCCATGTGACGCACCGCGTAATGTTAACATTTTTGTGGACCCACCCCCTCCCCGTCCTTAAACGTCGCGCGATAATCAAGTAAGCAATTTCAAGTGGTCATGCCATTTTATATTGTAAGAAAATAACATTTTATTAAGATGCGTGAGAATCTCTTCCGCGACCGTTCTAAAAGGGTAAAAAAACCTTTCCTGGCCCTGTAAGGCATCATATTATGGACGTTTTACTAGAACCAATAAATATGATTTTTTTACTTTTGAGTTACGTAATACTTGAATCCTCCTATATAATTGATATTTTATTATATATTTAAACAGTTGGAGTATGTTTTGTCTGTGACAGAATATAAATAAACAAAATGGTTACATAAGCATACACAATAAGCGTTTTCGTCAGTCTATATTAATTTTGAAGCAATATCATTTAAATAAACGTGATTTCTTAAAGCGAATAAATAATTATTACACCAACCTGAAACTTTTGCATAGACTGATACAGTCGTCCGAGGTTTCCATAATGTTTGGCTGTTTGCACGTTTTTCTCACCAAACGCCATCATCGACAAATCTAACGCTGCTTTGTGTAACGCTTCGGACTCCTCTAGTAGACTCGGTTCTGTAATATAACATATGTTTATTACAACTTTATTTTAACCATATAAATATATATCTATCTATCGAATATAGTAAATACCTCCGAGTATTTACTATTAACAATATAACATACATCAATTAACCAAAACATTGTTACTATTAATCCAATGAAATTTCTTTATTCAACCATGTTACGTAATTCAGTATAAATATGGAAGATATACTTCATCAACACATAATTCTTTGTATTATTTTGACTAAATAAATAAATAAAATAAATCTGTATTTGAATCACCTCTCATATCCTGCCCTGCCGGTGTATCCAACGCTATTTCCTCTAATATGAGAGCTTTGACACGCTTCGCTGAGGCCAATAGCAAGTGGTCTGGTGGTACTAGATTCTGTAAGAGGTTGTTGCTAATTAATTATATAGATTTTAAAACAGTTAATAAAAGCATGCGTTTTAAATATCCTAATTTGAATATTTTACGGATCTTGGAACTTATACCCGATAAATATTTCACTTAAATCTAGTGACAAGCACTATGGGGGGGTCTTTGTTTTTCTAATTTGGTGATTACGTTATTTACTTTTTTTACACATATTACCCACACATTGTATATGCTTGAAAACGAAATGCATTTTCGAGGATTCCTACAGAAAACTATGAGTTTATGTAATATCATTTTTGAGAGCTTTGCTTACTTTTGTTGACAAGAGGGGGGGATAAATTGCAGTAAATCTGCTTACGTAATACTTGAACGGCCTTATACGAATTATATTTGTTTTAGAAATCCAGAAAATATAACAAAAACCCTATTTAAAATAATGTTAGTGCTGATTTTCGTATTAACCATACCTCAATAATCCTAATGGCCCTTTCGGCGTGGTCCCGAGCCTTATAAAACCGTCCCGACGAGTACTCGAGGACGTACAAGGCGTACGCTAAGTCCTCCTGAGCCGTGGCTACGTGCAGGCTACTGCGACCGAACACCCTTCGGAGGGTTGATAGTGCTTCCTGTAAGTAAACACAGTGTAAACAATTTATCAAATACCAACTTAATTACAACCTAATAAAATATTATTGTAAAATAAATTATTACACACTTTGCATCTAGTGCCAGATTGTAAAATATATGTGTAAGTCGTAAGAGATATAATTATATTTCTTTAAGATTGTTTATTATGTGACATGTGTCAATACTGACGTTTTATTTAATTGTAATATTCAGTTGGTTTGTTAGTCTGTGGAAAAAGACGCAAGTTTTAGCTTGTCACTTGACTTTTGCAAGAAGCATTTTTTGCTAGGATATTTTCGGATTTTAATTGGGAATTCGATTAAAATAATTGTTTTAAAGGACTCTAAATCTTGTTTTTATAATTATTTCTGGTAGTTGATTAATTATTAAATACTTTACTTGTCTTAGTTTTAGTTTTAAGATCTTTTGTTTAAAAACTAAGGTTAGAATAAATCAATAATATCAAATCAATCATTTTATAATGCTATCATTTAAAGTACCTCGTAAACCTGCACACTATGAGTGATAGAGTCGATATTGAGCAGATAGAATCCATAATCCAACAAGGCAGCCGCATATCTCGGATGCTGTGGTCCAAAGACGAGCCTAGCGAGAGCAACAGCCTGTCTCACGAGCAAACCCGCCGAGCTGAATCGTCTCTTCACCACACAGGCCGTTCCACACGCACGGAGGACTTCTATTGTTATCCTGAAAAAGTTGTCTAAATTAAACTATGATACAGAAATACATAATCAAATATGTCAGGAATTTAGCTACTAGTGATCTTCAGAAATTTCAGAGTTTCCTTTATCCAAACACTTATTCATTGACATTTTTAACCAAAATATAGTTTTTTAATCATATTATATAGAAACTAACGCCCTATTTTCGACAACCCAATAATTGTTTTGAGTTAGGTCACACGGAAGGCTCAGCGCTGATTATAATACATATATATAATTAGGGATAATTTGTATATGTAAAATTAATACTTGGGCGGCGTATCCGGTGTGAGAAGCGACAATGCCCTCATGCCCCACGCATATGCGGCGCTGTAGTCGCATCGCACGAAGAAGAGGGCGCTGATCTCCTTGCAAAGACGCGCGAGTAACGCCGACATGCCCCACACGCGCTCACCGCCCGTACAACATTCTTCATCTGTGTACTCTAGCCTAGAAAGATTTAGAAGCCTCGAATATCAACTAGCCATAACTCAAAGTCAAAATATATTTATTCATATAGGTAAACAAGTACACTTATGAACGTCAGAAAACAAGTTAAATTAATTGTAAATTTACATTTACTACCAGTTCGCAAGTCAAGGGCGTAGAGCGGGCAAGAAACTTTCTGCCACTCTTTTTAGTCGCTATGTTTTGAGTCATACAAATTGTTTGAACTGGAGCAAATCAATCCCAAGGATTAGGATCATTTAAGTATTCATCAAATTTATAATATACTTTCCTTCCTAATTACATATACTGTCCTTCTAAATAAATATTATATTGTGTTATAATAGGTACCCTAGAATAGTCTAGTCATAAACACAGGAGTGTTGGGACTGGCATTTAAACAATTTGTTATAGATACATTTTATTTAAAAATTGTCTTATGTAAACTACCATAAAATTCATCAGAGAGGAATTTAAAGTATTTATTCACAACTGACACCGCATTTGATTGATAACATTTTTTTATATTACTCACCTATCATTATCAACGCCATCCGTCTGTAGGGCCTTGCAACAGGTTTCGGAAATGGCAATAGGACCTTCTGGGAGCTGTGCTGTGGTGTCTTCCGGCAGATCGAGGAGTTTGAGTGCCAATTTGTAAGTCTCGGCCGCAGCCGGGAAACAGCAGTATACTGATTGTGTATTTAATAACCTGCAAATGTATTGTTTATAGAATGCAATGTTATATATACATACATAATATCATCACCAATTTTTTTTTTGTTATACTTCTTTTGGCGCATTAGGGAAAAACTATGAGAGTAAATTTATACGATGCGCGCACGCCGTCACAAAAAACAGACACCCTGAAGTTAGTTATAAGTTTTTAACAGAACTCCAACAAATGGACGTGAATTAAATAGTAAATATCAATATGTATAAGTTGCATGCTAAAATAAAAAAATATCAATTTCTTTAATTTTGTAGAAATATTGTTTTTTTGATATTTAAATAAACTTTATTTAACTAGATAATGCGATTTTTATCTTGTTACGCCAAAGAAGTATAACTGCCAACGCGTGTACATAAGTACACACAAGTTTTTTTCTTTATAGAGACTGTAGGCTATATAACATTTCGCGTTGACCAAAGCTTGCAAGAAGTGGTACTCTTTATCGATTGGTCTGAATCATATTAATATGTTATATATATATATATATATATATATATATATATATATATGGCAGACCGGCCAAGCGTTGCTGTGGCTAAGGTTTTTGTTATATCACATAGTGGTAAACTATTCAAGGGAAACGGTAGGAGAACTTATGTGAAAGGTAGATGACAGCTTATGTGAAACGTTGATAATTTTAACACAGCGCCATCTGTTAGAATTGTATCAAATAATAAACAAATATTTTGGAACAAATTAAAATTGCGACTATAATTTGAGATTTAAACTATCCTATCTCTCAAGTTGGATCGAACTGCACATGGTGTGCAAATTTGATTGATATCGGTTCGGTAGTTTAGGAGTCCATTGAGGACAAACATTGTGACATGAGATTTATATATATTAAGATATATAACTGAGAAATAAAATTTGGTGAGCTAGAGAAACAACCTGATCACATGCATTGATAACTGCAGTGTTTCATTATATTTTCGTAAACCTTAATAGCATTTATTGATGTTTTACAATTCCCAAAAGTTTGCAGTCGTCTTATTTTGTGGAAACATTAAATTTGAAATAATTTTTCAACGAAAATACTTACCTATGGCAACACTCGAGTGTTAGTCGTTTATAATGTGTGGTCTGTGGTTGGGCGAGGCAAATGTCCCTACAGCGAACTAACACGCACTGCGCGTCCGCGTACCAGCCGGCTTCATTAAGGAATCCACCTGAAAATTAAATCAGATTTAAATAAACATTTATTTCAGACCATCATTGTACCACCATCTGTTTGAATACCACAAGTTGTTTTACTGGTGGTCGGAAATTAAATAAACGGAATTAACGCGTTCTTCGCTTTAATTAGAAGATACTATTTTTCAAAAGGGCGATAGTGCTTTTTGAAGGCTAAGTAAAATAATATACCACGCGATATTTTAAAGTTTAAACCGTCGAAAAATTTACTAGTGGTACCGATCAATTTGCGCTTTTTTTAAATAATTCAATCAATTGAATTTTGTCTTTATATGCAATTTTTATTTATAGGTATTTAACCTTTCGAGCTTGTCACGCGTCGTCGATATTTGTATCTTTGACCTGGTAGTTTTCTCACCGCGTTTCTTCACCGCAGTAGCAATAGCTACTAGCTAAAAGTAATATTTAATAAAAGTCCACGAGAATGGCGCTCCCGGTCACTCCTCCAGTCCAGCTCGTTCAATTGAGTAAACCATTACACATTAAAACAATAAACCTACCTAATCGTAATCCTAAATGTATGAGTGAATTTCTCGCACGAGAGCTCTGTTCACAACGCGCTAGGTACGCGCTCGACAATTCTGCTGATAGCTTGGATCCATGCTCAATCACCGCCTGAAAACAAACAAAATCGAAATAAATCCTCACGAGCCCCAAACAATATATAAGAATACACACAATCAATATAAAAAAGTATACAACCTTATGTCTAAATAAAAACCTATTCTGAACCCTGTAAATGGAAACTGTGGCTATGGGGAAAATGTATTCTATTCTTATACATAGGGGAGTTAATATTGTAATTATGCCGATGCCCTGCCATTCTAGATAAATACACCCACACTATGAATAGTCTACCTCAGGAGTTAAAAATTACTTTGAAACGTAGTTGCCTTTAAAATACCAGCAACAAAGTTGTGGTTATATGAGTAACATTACGCGTGTAAATGGGTTATTAGTTTTATTATTTTCGTAGTATGGACTCCTCTCTCTAATTAAAAAAATATATAATAATATTAATAAAATGTTCCGTATACTATAATATATAATATACTATATAATATATATTTTTTAGAAAGTTTTTGTGGTATCTAAACCCTACTAAATATTTGATTCAAATAGCCGGTTCAATATAATAATCTCTTTGATAACACAATCACATGTGACACCTTTCGAAGGTTGAAATAATACTTAATATCGGTAAAAAACTTACAATGTACGATATAAATGCAACAATTTAAAAAGGATGATATAAATTGCGCAATTGCGGACAATGTTGCAGGTGAAATGATGCGTGTATCGTTACAAATGAGATAATACTACAATGTACAATGCTAGTATGTGAAACGACAGTGGTAAGAGATTTACAACAAAATTATATAAGCCAATGATATGGCAAGAACCCTTGCACACGAATAGCGAGTATTATAAGTATCTACTTATTGTATGATGGGTGGTAAATGTGACTTACTAGTGAGTAAGTGTTAATCCGCTTAAAAGCCTTGTACATCTCCATCGGTTTAAATTTGTTTATTTTGTTCGAACAACAAAAGCACTCACCTTGTGAAAAGTAACAATTTTTGTCAGGAAAAACTACACTGTGTGAGTTATAAACTGCCAGATACATTGTAGACCAGTGACGCCCACAAACTATGTAATTTAGTATTCTGGTAAATACCGTAGTCTCGTTTAACGTACATAAGGAAGAAAGAGGTGTTATTTATTCTACCCATACAATTTTAAAGTAAGCTTTGACGTTAGCCTTGTATAGATATACGATATAATTGATATTTATTATTAGATAAAAATTAAATATATGTTATTAATAAAATGTTCGAAAATGAAGCTGTCTAAAAATAAAATAATAAATTATTTTCTTTTTTTGCGTCTGAGGCGGAACTTTTGTGGTCCCTGGCAGAATGTCCAGCGCTGTGGAACACGTCTGCTCCACAGCATAATGCTGAACCAGGGCCAGTTACTACCACAACACACAAACATTACACACTTTATGTACCTATTCCTTTTTTTCTTTCCATAATTTTGTGTTATTTTTTTTATTTTATTTTTGATTATTATTATTACTTTGTGTGTTTCTGTGTTTGTTTCGATATAATAAATGTTATGTCTGTCTATCAGTCAATAATAATATAATAAAAGCCCGTTTTATTTTCAATCATTACAAAAAAAAGAATATCCAGTTTTATATTAAAAACAACTTTTACATGTTATACTTCTTTTTCTTGTTATCCTATATCCTAGCTATGTTCAGTACCGCCGATCGGAACCCCTTCACGGGAAAAAACCTTCTCCGGCTTTTTCCAACTTACTTACCTACGAATACTTTACAATGAATATTATTTAGAGATTGGTGTTGAATGAAAATCCCACAATTGCAACTTGTTTACCAGTTGAAGCCAATTGGCTTTATACAACATTGTCAGTAATGTAAACGCAGTTCAGCATTCCAGCCGAGCAGAAACTAGCTTATGTTTTTGTTTCGTTATAGAGAAAATCCAATAACACATTCAAAAATTATTGATCGAACATTTGTGAACTACGAACCTAAAGCAAATAATCCTTGGAAATAGGATAATAAAAGATACGGTGTAATTTTTAAATCAAATAAGTAAAGTTTTGTATGCGCAGCCCGGACGACCACTAAGCCTTGATTTGTTTAAGCTATTGCGGAAGCTCAAGGAGTATAAAGAATATCCATAGCGCTAAATCACCTGCATCATGAGCACACCCCACATACACACACTCACGTACATACTCACTTTCACACCATCACACAACACATCCGAAATAGGTATTACGTATTTAATATTTTTTATTGTTTGTTTCCTTTCGTAAAATTTTGAACCTTTTTGTATTTAATATTATGTATTGCATATACCTAACTGTTTTTTGTTGTACATAATTTATGTCAGCTGTACTATGAAATACGGAAAAAACATAAGAAAAACGTGTGCCTCACTGGTACAAATACCTTAGTTGACAGAATTATTCATACTAGTCGTACAATGTATGCACAATTTGTAATAAAAATACACAGTTGTAAACAGAATGATCTAATTAAGTGTCGGCCGACGAAAGGTCAAAGTTGATTGAACATTAGTCTACTACAATAACATTTACTTTTTACAATGTTTATTGTGTTGATTTTGCAACTATAAAATCAAAGTTTTATAATTTTTCTTATTCTAGCATTTTATTAACATCTAGAATCTTTAAAGGTTGAGAAAATAAAATCATTATTTATAAAGACATATATTTAATTCCAGATAAACTGGTTGGTTAATATAATAAATTCTATATCAAAAATAAACTTTTAAAACGTTACAAGTTTTATCGAGAAATATATTTTTTTAAATCTCTTTCTTTATAATTTTGTAAATTTTTACAACAATTTTCTATTCCATTGCCGCATTATGCGACGTGTATGTGAATGAATGAGTGTGTAACTATATGTTAGATGTGGTTGTAAAGGAGCCTACTTTATTTATTGCGTTTGGCGCAGTCCTGCAGTCCTCACTGTCTGACCGACGAAAACATCCCTTCTTCTCTTTAAAAGCAGCTTGCGATCTAAGGGGGGTGTTCTCTGTGCTTTTAATTTACCATTATTCAACATTATCTATATGTACTCGTATATAAAAATGAATCCCTATTTCCTTTGGTCACGGCATCACGCGTGAACGGCTAAACCGATTCCCTAATTCTTTTTTTTTTTTGTTGTATATATTGCTGTCGGCAGAAGGTTTTTAAAAAAAAATTAAGAAAATTGCGCGGAAAATTAGAAAATTTGAGAATACTTAACCACCATACAATTCCAACTTTTTAGATGGAACCTTATGGCGTTTGACATAACATTGGTAGAAATCAGAAAAGAAGACTTACTGCAAATATCGTCAAAGAGGATGTAAGAAAAGTTAATATCGTTTAATATGTATATTATTATTTATTACATTTACATTATAATTGTATGCGTTTGAGTGACGCCCTGGATGATTTAGATTTTCAAGGCCCGGCGCCCATTATCGGCATCGGCAAGGAAAGGGATCCTTCGGCATCCTACATGCAAGCGCACACTATCGGCAATTATGCTTTGGCATGCTGCAACGTTCTTAGGGATGACGAAGCGTCCTTAAGGATGCCGCACCGTCCTGTAGGTTGCCGAAGCGTCTCAATATCGTATTTATCATCATAAGTCTCAGAGTTGTTACAAGCTAGTTGTCTGAATTGTATTTAATATGGTGGACTGGGAGTGTTTCTCGGCGCCGGCGGCGTACCGAAGGTTGCCGAAGCGTACTCAAGGCTGCCGATACACCAGCCTCAAGCATACCGAAGCGGTATTTTTGTTATTACGACCACATATCACGGAAATTTCTACTTTACTGCCATTATGTTATAGTAGGTATATTGCTATTTGCCACCTAAAATCCTCAGTCGTACCGATGCCGATAATGGGCGCCGGGCCCAAATCAGCCCAACAGATGGCGCTGTAGTGGGTACTATCATACTTTGTTTAATATACTAATCGCTTGAAATATCATGCAGGACAACGTCTGTCGGGTCCGCAAGTAGGTATATAACGAATACACATGCAACACCATATATAATTATATACCTACAGATCTCAGTGGTAGATGCAGCGCTGCCCACATCCCTTGCAGGCAGAATGTAAATGTGGCATAAGAACTTAATATAATTACGCTATCAACATGCTCCCGCGCATCCAATTTCATGATGATAGGTCTAACGGAAGTCTTATCTACTAACAGACTGGTATGTACAAAGCAAAATCGAGTTTCCGTAATATTTTTTACCGTTATACTGTGGTCGTGGTGTTATTATCTAACAAATCTAGATTCTAGACTTGAGCTTAGATAACAGTTAGACTAACGGTTGTAAAGATTAGCTCCTTTCGTCGCCGATACGAATTTAATCATATATATTTTGTTATACATTTACCACAAAGCCTTGCGATTACCCATGCGATTCTCAAATCTCAACCCTAAGGTGATTCGTTCCCCGTACACCAAAGGGATTTACTTTCTATGCATTATTAAGACATGATGGTGCGGTGAAAAAATATATTTTATTTAAAGAAGGCGGTAAGGAACGTACGGGAGTGGACCGCCATCACATTCGCCCAGGAGATTTTTAGATTAGCGCAAGATAACCCGGCAATTCAAGTTGTTAACAGCCAAGTTTTAGCAAGTGGCACCAGAAGAAGAAGGTATTCTAAGGTAATACAGATACATCATACAAGGTATATGGAACCTATATTTAAATAATAGAGGATATTATTTTCACTTTATATTAATTACTCAAGTATAACAAAATAATAAATTAATGATAAATAATTATATGCTATTGCCACTATTCAATGCTAATAAATGCTGAAGAGAGTTCCTGCATCTGGCTATACTCTCGGAGCGTTTTCTATGATTTGAGTAATCGCCACGCTTATAAAGAAAGCCTGAGCGAGCTAATTGTACATGAGTATTACTCTATATAGTAATATACCCTTATATAAGGGGATTAAGACCTGAAATTGACAAGTGTCAGTTGATAACAATAGCATCGACTTGAACGGCACATAATATGACATAATAAAAGACATGACAAAGTTTAGAAATTTTGTTACTTCTAGTAAAATATTGAAATTGTAATGGATAGGACACATTATGAGAGAAGACAACGATAAATGAACGAAAAAAGCGACGGAATGGCTTCCTCGCTGTGACAAAAGAAAACTAGGAAGACAAATAAAAATATGAGAAGATGATGTGCGAAGAGCAGCTGGCCCTATGTGGCTACGTAAAGCTAGACACCGAGAAGAGTGGACGCTGTTAGAGGAGGCGTATGTCCAAGGACAAGCTGTAAAATAGAAATTAATTATTATTAGGTACTTCACATTTTTATGTACTAGGATAATTTATTTTACAGCAAGCAACGTTATTATTATTATTATTGGTTGGCATATTTACTGAAATATACATGCATCTACTGCCTACGAGCAATAGGTACCTACATTTCTTTAACATATTTGTATAGGTATGAGAACACCACTTATTATGATAAAGCCTAGCCTAGTATCAAGGTAAGAGTAAACATTTTCTGGTTTTAAGGCTTTGTGGAAACCCCACATTCGTATCCGCAACGCACGCATCATCTTTTCTCGAAACAGTTCAGTCCATTTTCGACTCCTATAACTTCAGTAACCAAGCAGGCATTGTAAAAACACGGTATATTTCAAATTTCATTCAATTTGAACCAGTAGTCTAAGAATTAATATGATCACTATGTTATGTTGTTAGCAAATTACGTATTAACTTAAGACAGAAGATCCCTTAAGTAAGGACTGAATAAATTAACCGACTTGATCTCACAACTTTTTACGATAGGCTCATCTGATGTTAAGTGATACCGCCGCCCATGGACACTCACATTGCCAGGAAGCTCGCAAGTGCGTCGCCGGCCTTTTAAGAATTGGTACGCTCTTTTCTTGAAAAGGACCCTAAGTCGAATTGGTTCGGAAATACTTTAGTGGGCAGCTGGTCCCACATAGTTGTAGTGCGCGGCAAAAACTGCCTTAAGAAACACTCAGTTGTGGAACGACGGAGGTCGAAGTGATATGGATGGTATTTTGCCTTGACGTCCGATGATGAAACTCAGCTGCAGGTTAGTCCGAACAACACCTCTGAATACTCTCCATAGTAAATGCGGTAGAAGATGCAGAGAGACCCCACATCTCTCCGAAACGCCGTAGGATCAAGCCGCACGGAAAGTCACTGTTTATACAAGTTAGGTTTTTGTTTTTGATGGCATATATATGAATGTGCATCATAATATAGGTACCATACTAAACTATAATAGACATTAATCAGTGCTAATAACACGTGCAGAGCTGCCAACTAATTATCTGTTATCATTCTGTGATTTGTACAAACAGGCATAGAATTTACTTCCATTAAATATTATGTGATATCCCTAATAGGCAATACGGACAAACTATTGTATTACTTTATTTATAAATTGTTTTATACTGTCTTCAATTAAGATATATATGTAATGAAAACTACTCTGCATTATGCTGTATGTATAGTTTTGATTTATTTGGCGCTTCATCGCTGATGTCTGACCACTCAATGTGATTTAATGAGAGGTTATTTTTTTGGTTTGCGTTTTTCATAGAAACCCAATTTCGTATTTTCTTATTTACCGTATAAGTAGCATTTACAAAAACATCATACATGCCGTTTTTCACGAGTATCATGATAAGAAAAATATTTATTTCCAGCTTACTATGTTAAGAAATACGTGGGAAAACAATAAAAGTGATTATCCGACCTAAGACAACAAATGTCGTATTAACATTGAGTCGACATGTGACGCAAGCGCACGCTTACATAATGGTTACGATTCAAAGACATGAAAATAACTTCCACTGCCTCGATTCTAGTATAAAAATATTGTTTGAAAAAATAGTTGAATATGAATCCACATGTTATTATAATTAGTATCAGGCCACTGGTCAACTTTGCCGTTAATGTAGTTTGATTTTGGACAGACGCAATAACATATTGCGTGTTGGGCTACAGATGCTGTACCAATGAGATCATACGCAACGCGCCATCGTTTCTCTTTCGTTTTTCATTCTTATCCCCTCGATTCTAGAAGATGAGGCAAATTGATTATTGTATTGACAGTTCCAACACATACATTTTCTATGCAATTTGTTATCTTTACTATAGGCCAAAAAAGCCCACGGAGTGGTTTTTCAGGACGTTTTGATGTATTGGGACGGTAATTATTCGATTTCACGTTTCGTTTGTAACAAGGGTACAGTAATCCCCCCTAATATAACGCGGCATTTCTCCCCTATAACGCGTAGATTTCTCAAGCAATATTTCTGTAGTGTGAAATTTATAATGATTTGACAAGTCCATAATTAGTTTAGCGTACGTTTGCACCTGTTTCAATTGTGTTGTTATTTAATAAAACTAAATATATACGTGTTCCTAGTTTATGAATTATAAAAAAACAAAGGGTTTTACGAGAATACGCCTACAACGCGATTCGCGGTCCGGGTGTATCGCGTTATAGCGGGGTTTACTGTATGCTACCATTACTGCGACAAAGACAGTTCTGAGCAAGTCGAATATTATTAGTTTTAAAACATACTTTTTAATTTTCGATTTCAATATTGAGTTTCCATCAATTAAACCCCCCTTAATTAAAATTTAAAGCATCAGGCCTATTGAAAGAACTGCATCAAAATGGGGTTTTGTCTTTACATAGTTCTCTTAGACAGCTGTTTATAATAATTAAAAACGACCGGATCGACCCATATGATGACTTCAGCAACTGTATATAAACTAAGGACAAGTAAACTATAGCCTATGTAACACGCTGGTAGCGTTTTTTTAACGTTTTTAAAATATATTAACAATATTTTTTTCGTTATTATTATATGTAGCTCTAATATGTAATAACATACCTGAAAACACTGGAGCAATCTTAATTGAGCGCCCGAGAATCGCAAAAGTCTCTCAAATATCTCCAGCTCGGACAGCTCCGCGCCCAAGATGCAGAGTCTTTTCTCTTCCAGCATCTGTAACGACACATTAAACATATAACTCAACTATATTCCATCTGCTTATTGTAATTACGTACTAGAATATTAGTAAAGCAGGTTGATGATATATGAATTTAGTATTGTATGAGACTTAAGTGAATAAGGTTTCACGTATTACAAGTCAGAATACTCGTATAATATATATTATTCTTCTTTCCACCTAGGCACACCTAGGGCCTTGTCTTACGAATATTTTTTTTCTAGAAAGTCACAATCTTGTGGGAAAAAATAATAAGCTGTATAATTCAACGGACAATCGGCTCAGTCCGCATTACACGTACTTAATCTTCTAAAGCCAATTTTTAGGCTAGGTTGTAAGAATTTATTTGCCTTAGTCAAGACACTTAGACACTAGAACGGACTAGAATTGTGCCACACTTATATTTGAAACAAGATAATTAACATAATACTTTTTGACAAATACGGTATTTGACAGTACTTAGGGTACGGAATAGGAGCACCACGAAGCTAGCATGCGAAAGGCAGAATCAAGTCTTTCTAAATAGAGGTACATCTACGTGAAGTAACCTTCTAACAACGAAAATATAGTACCATTATTCCAATTTTATGACTAGACTGAAACATCTGGAATGGCAAATGATTTTTTTATGATAGCAATGTAATCCTAACAAAATTACTTCGCTGAAACGTTATATGGTTCATGAAAAATTGGTATTAAATCTGTCTCAAACAATAAATTTCACCAAGGTTTAATCTACTATAAAAACTGTATAAAAAAACTAAATTTGTTATAACCACATCGCTTTGCTAAAGCTATAACCACGTAAAACCAATTATTATTAATAATAACTTACAAATTGTAAAATAATAGATTTAATATGACGAATCGCAACACGTCGTAAGAAATGTTTAGTTGTATGCTAATAAACAATGCATCCGATGGCCCACATCGATTGCAGTGGCATTGATTGTGTTGACACCTGACTATGGCCCTGAGCGCGCCCGCTCTTGATCTCTCCAATAGGCAAGCATTTTTCCCATTTTACTCGACTACGAAATAATATAGCGGCCTATCATATCCCATCATTTTTACAGAACAGATTGGAGAACTAGGAGATGTGTTGTAGCTATTGAATACTTAACCTCTCGTATATTTTTTTTTAACAAAAACTTAGCGAATCATAAGGGTGACGGAGAGGTTATTATTACTCTTGTCCGTTCTATGCCCTTGATTTGAGAACTGGCAGGTAAATTTAGAAGCTCTCAAAAAACAAAAAAGAAAAGTAATAGAAAAGGGAAGGAAAAACTAATTATATTTTAAAAAAATTTAAAAAAAAAAAAAAAGTAAAAAAAAAAAAAAATTTTTACAACCACCAAAAAAAAAAAAAAAAAAAAAAAAAAAATTTAATAAAAAATAAAAACTAAAAAGAAATCAACTAACCTATAATAATTATTTAGTGTATGTGTACACGTATGAACGTCTAACGTTACTTATATAAATATATTTGGTTTGAAAATAAACATAAAAAACACTGGCTCGAATTCGAACTTCGCGTTAAGAATAATTATTTAAATGATAGGAGGAGGTCGGACAGTAATGAATGAGACCTTCTTAGAGCCTATATATATATGTAGGTACATATATGTGTTTTAAAAAAAACCCCAAAACACCCAACTACATACAACAAATTATTAAAAAAAAGAAAAAGGAAAAAAATATTCTTTCGTGGATACCTGTTATAATACCCCTAAAATAGCGTGGGAAATTTTTTTCTCCGCCCGTTTTTTTTTCCCCGAGGAGGCTTTTTTGTTAAAGGCCGCCGCCACTGCCCATGTCCCAAAGAATAAAATAAGTTTATCTAAAGAACACAAATAATTATTAATAAAAAACAAAAAAAACCAAAAAAAAAAAAAAAAAAAAAAAAAAAAAAAAAAAAAAGGAGGGAAAAAAAAAAAAAAAAGAAAAAAAAAAAAAAAAAAAAGGAGAAAAAGCAAAAAAAGGAATAAGGAAAAAATAAAAAAAAAAAAAAAAAAAAAAAAAAAGAAAAAAGGGAGATTCGCAACCCCTACCCCCCCCACCCCCACCGCGGGCGGGGGGGGTGGGTTAAGAGAAAAAAAAAAAAAAAAAAAAAAAAAAAAAAGTAAAGGGAAAAAAAGGAAAGAGGGGGGGGGGGGGGGGTCCCCCCTTCCCCCCTCCCCCACACCCCACCCATGGCGGGGGGGGGCGAGGGAGGGGGGGCGGGGGGGGGGGGGGGGGAGAAAGTCCCAAAAAACCCTCCCGGGCACCGGGAAAGCAACCCCCCCCCCACCCCCCCCCTCCTTCCCTCGGGGGGGGGGGGGGGGGGGGGGCCAGGGAACCCAATTTTTTTTTTTTTTTTTGTGGGGGGGGTGGGGGGGGGTGGGTAAAATTTTTGTGGGGTTTGTGGTGGGGGGGGGGGGGGGGGGGAGTCTCTTCGCAACGGCGAGCGGGACAAACAAAAAAAAAAAAAAAAAAAATCAAAAAAAAAAAAGAGGGGGATAGGGGTTTGTGGGTTTTGGGGGGTGGGGGGGGGTGTGTCTCTCGGGGGGGGAAGAGGACGAAGACGGGGGGGGGGGCCCCAAAACCAGCAACAAGACGGCGGGGGGGTGTGGGGGGGGGCAACCCCGAGAGGGGGCGGGGGCCCCTTCGGGTTTTTGTTTTGGGGCACGGCAACATTTTTGTAGGGGAAAATATATGTTTTTTTTATCTATAGCGTGCTTATTAGCTTGTTTGGTTGAATGCGCTAATCTCAGAAACTACTGGGGGCCTACCATCAGCTCTTATTGCGACCCTATTGACAACCTACAACTGAGATGCATCGCTTATTCATACCATGACTTCTAAATAATCGTAAATTCGTACCATGACCTCGCGACTGAACCAAAATTTGACTGTTTCAAACTATACCAGAATAAGCGATTTTAAAAAAGTTTGTTTTCAACTTTCAACTTTTTTGTATCTAAATGTCCTAATGATAGTTTAGAATATATAAAATTAAATATTTAAATTAAAACTACATAGTTCATAAAGTAAAAGTAATAAGATGTACTATGTCTAATATAGTAAAAAAATATAATTCGGATATTTTGAGTTTAGAAAGTGTGATTATGAATAAATTATTAAAAAATCGGCAGATATGTGAAACAAGACGACAATCCGCTTCTACCGACTTTGAAGATGTCGAGTTTATAATTTGTTATATATCAACGACTTTGAATCGTTGAAGATTTCAGTGTACCTACGCATAATTGCACGAACTGTTTAATAATATTCAATTATGTAATTAATTAGGTATGTATTATATGTTTATGATAATATAACAAAAACAATAAAACATTATTCCCTAAAATATCACATATTATTTTAAACCAGCTTCCGCCCGCGTTGATTTCATGTATTAAAACATAGCGTAATTAATTGCACACCTAAACCTTCTTTAGGAAGTTGTATCAAAACTCCAAAAATAGCCGCCGCCTGATTCTTCATTTTATAATAAATAAGAATGCTATATCACTAGCATTTATTATAATTAACCTTTTCCTTATTAGCGTCATAAATTGTATTATTCACCTCTGATTTTTTACCTAAATCAACATAGGTATTTTTCAATATTATAATATGTAAATAATAAGGCATTTGAAAATATTCGAATAACAGTCTATATTTAGTTAGAATGACGCCATCAAGATATAAAAAGATGTCTTCAGGCAATTTTCAATTGGGTATAAACAAATATTCATACGAGTATATATACTTCATTATATATTTCATTGGGGCTCTTGTTCGCCCACATGTCTCTCAAAACACAGAGTCAAGTTTAAGCTATAAAGAAAATATAATTATTTATATTACATGATAATTCATTAACTATCGTTAAATCGTTCTTTCGTTCCACCTTGCGATTCCAATAAGTTTCAGTTTATGGTACGAAAAAATGCTATTGAATTTAGGAACCTAATCTCATCAGCATCTCAACTGGACCGTTTTAAGAAAGCTCATGGAAGGCCTCGTGGTAGGTTCGGTTAAGGTTTTCCGATGAAGACATTTTTTTACAAATAACAAATAATTTATTAACCTTTTATTTATCGCATAAGTAAAGTAAAGATCTTTACCATAGTACCAAAGATGTTTCAAATATTTCATTAGTCATAATTACGATGAATGTAAGTATATAGGTTTAAGACGTACAAATGTGAGAAAAATATTTTTTCCTGTTTTAATATGTACAGTCATGATGTTACACGGGTAAGATTTTCCTTTAAATATTCCAATTAATATTCATATAACTTAGCACAAAAAAGATATGATTCACACTTTTTATCAATATTAAACCAATTGAAATAGTTTTGATTACTTTACTAGGCAAAAATTATTCATTATCAGAAATAAATGATTCTAATAATTATTATTAATTCTTAAAAAATGAAATATTTTTGCCTACCATATATCATGGAAGGACTGTGTAGTCCCATGTACACAGCCCTCCATGTACATAGGCTCAAAAGCCTATTTATTATTTTGGGATTTGAAAGGTACTGGGGTGACTAGTGGGGGATGAAGTACTACTACCGGAAGTTGAAGTTGGGGTGGGAGGGTAAGGTAGTTTTTATATTAAATTGTTGTTATTGATAACGGTTTAGGTTAGGTTAGGTTAGTAGTTTTTGGTCGTTCAATGTTGGTTCTCTCTCAATAAAGTTGAAAAATTATGGCAATTTTGTCTTCTTATAGTCGTTGCTGGAGATTTGCTTAGATCTTTAGGGGGTGACTCAGTACTACTTCTTTTCCTTTTTCCACCGAAAATAAGATTATCTCCCCAAAGAAATGCAATCCTTCCATTCGGTGAAAGTTGCTTTGCTTTTTAGAATTTAGTGTAGACTAGAGTCTGGACAATTTTGTAACAACCATATTTTGTATTGAATAAAGTATTATTATTAATTTACAATCATCTTTATCATTTAAAAAGATGATAGTATATCAAGTATCACGTGCTTCTGTT